TAAACCATTTTAAATCTGGTTTTAAATCCTACCTTGGTGACAAATATTTGTGAGCATTAGAATTTCATAGGTGAATTTTTAAGATAAAATTTTGTAGTTTCTGTGGCATACTTCGTCGTTAAAACACTAAAAATTCAATCACTGGGCTGGATTTTCTTGTTTTATAACAAAGGGCAAAATGAATTAAAGCTGACTGGCTGAGACAGAAGGTACTTTTCATCAATTGCCGCGGCCAAAACGACTTAAAACGAGAATATTAAAAGAGGCTTAATTTTGCCTAAAGGTGTGCTAATTCATAAGTAGCGAATGCTTTTTAGCAGGGCTGAAAAGAAAAACAGAACAAAACAAAAAAACACGTGATATTAATGCTTAATTTTACTCGGCCTCATGCTATTTACCTGTACTTAAAAGCGTTTCTTTTAGTGATAGTATAGTATCCAAAATTCTGAGGGCGATGGTAATATGATCAAAATAAATTTAGTGTACAGTCGAAAAATTTTGTCAGGTATCTTATTGATTTATGAGTAAAAAAACTGTCTACCGCTTTCACAGGCAAAAGGCAGACGTTTGTCCAACGTCCGATATATTTCATACGACAAACATTAAATTATTCCGTAGCTAGTTTTAACAAATAAAAGGCATCAAACGACTTTGCTTTGTAGATGATACGTCTTGCTGATAATTTGAAATCAGCTGTTATTGCTATTTATTCATCGTTTGATTGAGAAAGCAAGCAACGGTCTTAGTTGAAAAAATTGTGTGCGTGGAAATAAACGTGGGCCAAAGAGACGCCCTCCTGTTTTGAGCTGAAATGAATTTCCAAAAAAGAAAAATACGGCGGTGGGAAAGCTTTGAAAAAAGAAAAAAAAAAACCAAACACATTTACATTCAACTTAAACGTTATATACTGACCATATTTGGAAAATGTTTATCTTTGTTTGATGTTAATATTTATCATTTGCCGTTTGATGGTCGGAAATTATGCACTACATTAAGTCTCAAAATTTTCAAAAGACGTGGAAAATTTGAAATTGGTGTAAAATCAAACGGATTAGCTCTAAAAAGAGGGCACACTGACCCTAAGCAAACATAAACTTTGATTTTCAACATTGCCTACGAAAAAATCCCTAACTTGTCTAGGTCTATTTTCAAAAGTGCTTCTAACTTAAAATGGATTGATATTCGGCTGCGAAAACATTCTGTGACAGAGATCCATTAAAGCTGTTAGACTTAAAAACAGATTCATTTTTTGAAAGAAAAGAAAGGGCCGCTGTGCAACTCACCCGCGTTGCGTTTGTTACTTGAAGCTTATATTATGTTATATGAGATGTTTAAGACAAAAAAATACTCTGAATTTTAATTAATCTAAGTTACCTCGAAACGGATTTTCCAAGTAACATGACAGGACGGAAAAACGCGTGGACTGTAAGTACCTACCGTTGTCCCATACAAAGCCTTAGAAAACTTTTCTAAGGCTTTGTATGGGACAACGGGAGGTACTTACAGTGCATGCATTATCCGTCCTGTCATGTTATATTTGAATTTGGCACAAAATGGTACGGTCTCACCAAACGTGTTCGGTTGTTCAACTCGCACAAGTTGTTGTCTTTGTTGAAGTTTATGCTCTGGCAGATATCATCTCCTTTGCAAAGGTAGTAACAGGAAAACATATCCTGTGTCTTAACAGCTTTGAATGCTTGTTTCAAGAGACTAAATCTTTGAATAGAAGTGACGCATTTATCACCAAGTAAACTATTGCTGAACACGATTGGCAACCATAAGATGGAGTAAAAATAGACCAGTTTGATGAAGTGTGCACGATGAAACTTTGAAAACGTCTGTGGATAAAAGCAGAGCAACATCATCTATTGGAAATAAACTGTCCCTAACTATAATAGTATGTGTGAATCATAGAATGACGAAAATAGTCTTCAAAAGCTACTCTTTCTAATATAATTTCTTACCATTTCTGAAGGCATTTCCTGTGTGTGCTGGAGAGAAGGAAAAATTGTTGCTGAAAATTAGATTTTCTTTTTATTAAATACAGCGACAGAGAGGAAAAATAGAGCGAACGCCGGCTTTTTCCTTTAGATAAATAAACCAGAAAGCTTCCAGTTTATGCCACCTGCTTTCTTTAAGTAAGGCGTAGTAGATTCGGTCAATGGCTGTGTTTTGTAATTAAATAAGCCAGGTGACAGATTGCCCCGAAATAGCCCTAACTTAATTTTTTTGTGTGTAACTTATGCGGCGGTAATAATTCGTAATTTTTATTTTTAGCTGGTGAAATTGTTTGAAAAGGAAAATGAAATGAGCAATCATTAAATCTTAAAATGAACACACATGTAAAAACGATTTTTATGGTTAGATTCACCAGCTTTCTGTGTGTATCAATAATAACTTCTAGGTTTAAGATGTTACGGTAGAATATAATAACATGCGTTAAAATTGGCATGGCTAAAACGAAAGTAAACAAGTCAAAAACCTGCGATTGTCTGATTATAACTTGACATTCGTTTGTGAAATTTAACTAATAATCGGCGAACGGGAGGGATTGAAGCGAGAGAGTGTCGAAATGGAATGTATTCATTACTTTTCCTTTAACTGTATTGTGATTGTTTCCCAAACATCACGCCACTGTCTGATATGCAAAAGCAATATCAATCTTAAATCACTATTTCTTTGTAATACGCAGTTGTTGTCAGTTGTTGTGGCTAATCGTGAGTGAATAGCATCTAATTCTTTCCTTAAAGTATCACCACTGAATCAAACCTGAAGGTCACGAGAGTAGAGGAAATGATCAATGACTAAAAAAGCTCCTCGTTGATAAACAATTTATGCATAATTAAGGCAGCGCGCAAACAATGACCATGTTACGCGAAGCAAGGTAGGCGCTAATCCAGGTTTGACTGCCAGGGCAACGCATAATTCCCACACACAGTAACACCCGGATTCGCATGGATCCGTGCTATAACAATTACACTAGGTAACACGAATTGGATCGAGCATGGACCAGTTCAAAGCAGGTATAAGACAACTTTCACTTGGTGCCGAATAGACATAAAAAAGGTAGTACAGTTATCAGTGTGTATTCAATCGTTTTTTTTTTCGTTTTTCATTCCTTTCAAATCAATAACCTATTCGCAACTTACATTACTAACAACAAAGAGCACTCAAAAGAAAATTTCACCTGAGAAACGTAGGGCAACTGAATGATCTCTCATTGCTAAACAAATTTAACACAACATGCATGCGTGACCTGGCCCCGAAGGTTGGATAACGCTATCAACTGGATCATTCTCTATCCAGTAGATAGCGAAGGAGGTTTGGCTAACACTTGTCCAACGGATAGCGATTTATCTGTTGGATAGTGTAATTCGCCCTGCAAACAGCTGGGGCCTGATCCCCTCAAATTACCAACTACTAACCGATGCAGTTGCAGATATCAGAACTGTGCTCTGGTAGGGGCAGCCCAGGTGCCACAAGCGACTCGCTGTTATCTTTAGGCGAGTTAAATAACAGTGTTTTGAACGATGGCAAGACGTAGGTATCCAACATTTTCAACACAAGAGTCTTCTTATTGGTGATATCCAGTTATTCTTCCAAAAGCACAGGCTTGGACTTAAATAATCTGTCAGTTTCTTTATGAATAGCTAGGATAGGATTAAACCAAGATTGTGACCGGATACAGATCTCATTCCAAAGGAAGGGATTTTATCTCAGTTCATTTTTTAACTCGAGGTATATCAGTTATCCCAGGACTAATGCAACATATACCGTCCGTGTTCCTTGAGGAGAAATTGAGAATATCAAGACGTGAACGGCAACGAGCACTTAGAGAAACAGAGATTTAATGAGCACAGCAATAGCTCCGCACGTGCATTTAAAAAAAATATTCACTCTATAGCCATCCAATTCTAAATGGCAATGTGAAAACACCAACGTCTGTGTTGACACTGATGGAAAATTAATCAGGTTTGTAGATGAACTTGCCTATTTATATCGAAGCGAGGTGAGGTCCAGCACCCTTAGAAAGAGTAGACACATACAACCATTCATGACAATCTTAAGGATGCTCGAAAGGGTTTTTCGTTGTTGCAGTGTTTGTGAAACGATGGAAGATACAAAGAAGGATATTTAATGGAGTGGGCAAACTTTGTCTCCTTGCAATTCTATTGCTGGGCTATACTTTGAAGGTACTTGTGACGTCATATCAGTTACCATGGCAACGCAAAGGTCCACAAAAACGTCCACTAAATTTTAGTTTTTGTAAATTATCTGAAAAACTAATTCGGTGACCTACCATTTTTATTTCTTTGTTGGAAAGTTCCCTAAATTCTTTAACTTTTCAGACAGTATGGAATCGTAGAATTAAATATATTTAAAGAAAATGCGATTTATGGCTTACAGAAAATTATACTGGATAATTTTTCCCGAAACTTTTACATTTGAAGTGCCATCGTGAATGGTGCGTGCATGCAAAAAATCAAGATAGGTCACCGAACAAAATTTCGAGCTAGAAACAGATGTATTTCGCCGATTTTATTTCCGGTTCGCGCAATTTCAAGCAACATTTAACTTCCGGTGTGCTGATTTTTATTCATTCTGCTGACGCGTGCATCTTAGTTATGGCGTGTGTAGATTGCGCGCGCGCGCGTGCATCTAAAAACCCTTTCCAGCCTCCTTAAGATAATCGAAGTTTTCTTTCGCGTCGCTGTTCCGACTGCATAAGGTCATGATAACTTAGTGGTGAGGAAAACGAATGGACGCCGCTTGGGTTGTCTACATGAGAAAAATTCGAAACACACGATTGCCTATTCCTCCAGCATATCTGAAAACGGGAGTGATTTATGAATGAATGGCCGTTTTTATGCTAGAGACGTTAAAGTTGTCTAAGACGTTAAAGTCGTCTAGAGACTTTAAATTCGAGACGGTAAACTACCGTTTTTATACTTGACGTTAAAGTCGTCTCGAGACGACTTTAACGTCTTAGACAACTTTAACGTCTTAGACAACTTTAACGTCTCTACGTTAAAAACGGCCAATAACTGGAGATCGATTGCCGAATAAATAAAGCCTGAATGGGGATCCAGTCCCCTAGCTTCATCGTCTCTCAGGAAAGCTCCTGGTTTTCCTGGTTAATCAGTCACGGATGAACTACATGTTTATCAGCATGGCCATGCTGCCGATTTAAAGGGAGACATTGCCTTTTCAAATCTCCATAATTCTCAACATCCTTTACAATCCAGGAAGCAACACGTGTCCTAACATGCCATGTCACGTGGTGACCTGCTTGACTAAATGGAGTCTTGCCAGACCCGAGGCGCAACCTGAGGCGAGCCACATGTAGGATTGTTTATTGGGATTAAAACGGACCTGGAAAAAAAAACAACAACAATAAACTTGACATATGAATCAAACCAGAAGATGAAAGTAGTCACAACAAAAGTAGTCAGTGAAAAAATTCAATGTCTTTCTAACCCTTTAACTCCCAAGATCTGATTGTTAATTCTCCCTTCTAGCTGCTACACAATTCCTTGTAAATTATTTACGAGAGTTTGGTGTTAGATCAAGATAGCAACTTCTAGCTGATAAGTTTAAGTATTCTCATTACCTGTATGGGGAGATATCGGGATAGAGAGAAGTTACACATTAATCACTTGTGGGGGTTAAAGGTTAACTTGAATTCGAAATGGTGGAATTGACGTAAATAAGGCTTTTCAAAACTCAAGCTTTCAAGATTACATTGTAAATGTGAAGCGACACTACCTCTTAACATAAATAACTCCAAAATGAGTTTGAAATTCCTAACCACTGACATTTCCAGAATCAAAGTACATATTATAGGTGGTTATCACACAAAGTTTCAAATAAATGAAATAAAGTGGGCGTTTGTAAGGTTTTGGGTAAATTCAATAGCCCAGGGGTCCGAATCTCGAAAGTCCCGAAACCATATTTTGAAAGAATAGAGAACCAGGTTCTGTCACCCTACTAAATTCAGCTAATACTTCTTTATTAAAATTTTCAAACCCTTTTAAACACCCATCTTAAATGGAAACATAACAGCTTTGCGGGCCTGGGGCCCTTTTCTTGAAGTTCCTGAGGGCCCGTTCCTCGAAAGTCCGGAAACTCAACAGGCCCGATACCATATCTTAGAATCAAAACTTTAACACTGGAGACGCAGGTTCTGGCACCCTAACCAATCCATTCTGTTTCTTAAGCTGAAATTTTTGCTGGATAATTTTTGAAAAATTTTAAACCCTTCGGGTGAATGAAAACATAACAGGTTTGTGGGCCCGATAAGTTACCCGGACCTTCGAGGAACGAGCCCCAGGTAACTCTACGGGCCCGTAAAGCTGTTCTGTTTTCACTGAAGATGGGAATTTCAAGTTTTGAAATTTTTATAATAGATTCATGAGCTAGAGAAACAAAGTGGACTGGTTTGAGAGCCACAAACTAATTTGCTTTTTTTTCAATTTTGATTTTAAAATATAGCTTCAGGCCTGATAAGTTACCGGGACTTTCGAGAAATGGGCGTCGGGTAACAAAAACGACTCTAAATAAGACCATCTTCTTAATTTTTGTCGTATGTAGTTCTTAAATCAGGTGCTTTCTTGTAGTGTAGACCCTTTTCCTCACCATTAATTTTAAAAATTTCGTTTACTTTTCATTGGAAAGGGTAGTTTGATACAGCTGAAGTAATGACGAGAAGATTTTACCACAACTCACGCATGTCACGAATATTTCGCACCTTATGTATCGCTTGAGGATTGGCAAATTGATCATACGGAATGGTTTGCATAGTGCTCGGCGAAAGAAGGCGTTTGAAATCTGGATCTGATTTGTCAACTCTGTCCTTAAACTCCAACTAAAAGAGGAGACGAAAAACATACATATGCATCATGTCGCCAAATGATCATAAGCAAAATATTTCACCTACTTTTATGATACGAAAAAATATCATGAGCGTTATTTTCACAGACGTAAGTGAATCAATAGTAAAAGAATAAATAAATAACTTGATAGATAGATGGATGAGTGAATGAATACGTAGAGAAGGAGAGACAAAAAAGTCACCCAGAGTGTTAATAAGCGAAAGATGATGTTATTCGGTGAATGAAACAGTCAAACTTGAAGAAAAGAACTCTGAGCGCTCCTAATAGAAGTCAAACCCAGGACCCTCTGACTAGTACTTCGGATGCTCTACTATTGAGCTATAGGAGACTCGTGGCAGGCTTGGCCGCTTAACTAGGTCCACGGTGACAAACTTTCTGCATACCACAAGGATAAGATTGTCGACATGTGACGCTTCTGCTCAATGATGATGTAAATAAAGATGGCAATTTTAAGCTTGATATTTTTTAAGTGGAAGATGATGCTATTTGATGAACGAAACTAGCATACTGAGAGAAACGGAACTCCAAGTGCTCCCCATGGGAGTCGAACATACGACCTTCCGATTAAGAAACTTACTGCATTAACATCATGAAACACAAGTCTGTGTTTCTCAAACACTTCTCCTAAAGTCTTTGGTGGAGTGGGTGTTCCCTTTTTTGCGTCACCATCTGTTTTCCCAGACGCATTGGTGGTTTCCATCATCTCGTCTGCATCTGATTTCGAGGTTGACACGTTCATTGAAGATTTTTCTTTAGAAGCAAGGATTTCTTTCATCTTCCTGTCAGCAGATGAACCATTGTCACCGGCAGAACCATCCGTTTGAGTTTCCTCGACTGAGTCAGCGTTTTTCTGTTCTCTTTGAGAAAAATCTTCCTTATTTTGTTCACTAGATGAAGAATTACCAGCAATTTCTTCCAAAAACGCCCTGTAAATGCCCTTGAGGAAATAATAATAATAAATATAAGATTTTTGGCTGTTGGAACGAGCCTCGCTTTCTTCGCTCACCTGTCGCTTCCGTTCTTACAAACACAGTTTCCATTTTTTTTCAGTGAGGATGTGGGTGAGAATCTCGAGCAATGACAAACCAAAAGAACAGGTGATAAGTGATACAACGAATACGTCTTTTTGTATGAATGCGTCAAGAAAATATATAACCAACTTAATTAGCCGAGTTACTTTTCCAAACGATTTTTTCGAGAGTAAATGTCTGATGAAAAATGACCAGCGATTGTAATATAACTAGTCAGTAAGTAACTGCTGTGAGTTGTTCGAGTGAAAATGTCGTTCAACGATATATGGGATCATCTGATTAAATATGACATTATCAGGGTTACAGACTTAATGTAGCGAAAAGCTTCTACCTTGCGGAGATCAATATTAGACATCTAAAAGTTTAACACTCATTCTTACAAATCTAGCAAACGTTTTCCGTTTCTTCGGTAAGACATGGACAGCTACAACCTCGCCGGCAGCATCACCACAGGCCAAGATGTTTGACCACTCAGACATCGATATACTCTGTTGGAGCGTAAAAAAAAGCTCATTACCTGTTATCCTCAGGCCAAATATGACTAATTTCCTGTATAAGGGCGCTTTTTGATTGAGTGTCGTGAAAACAAAACCCGAAATTAACGGCCAATCAGAGGAAAGAAAAGTACCATCAAGAGCCAATAAGATTTCAAAGAAAAAAAAAACCACCCAAATGCCTAAAGCGCGGGAAAAGGCGAGCGACCACGTCGTGATTGGTTTAAGTTTTGCAGCACGAGTTTTCTGGACCAATGACAGAGCGAAGTAATAAAAAAAAACAACAACAAAAACAACAAAGCAATCCCGGTTTACCTTCGACACTTATTTGAAAATTACTCTTTAACCCTTTACACCCTAACATCAGTATGCATATTCTCCACACTGTTTTTTATACATTTCCAAAGGTGCTGTCAAGGAGAATTTGTTTGCTAATCAAAAGGTTCCTTCCCTGGTGATCATTTCCTTTATTCTCATGACCTTGAAGTGAGATTCAGGAGAGATATTGTAGGGAGAAATTAGATGCCAGTCACTCTTAGGGGTTAAAGGGTTAAATGATTAATCGCCACGGTAGGCTAACTTACGGCACGAATCCGTAAATGTATAAGGAAAAAGTACGCAGGGAGACTGGGTGATGCAGTCACACTCACCAGGGAGAGGGAGGGGAAAAAAGTGCTTCCCAAGGCCAATCGCGCAATGACTGTCCTAATCTATGTAATGAAGGCCGCAAAGGTCACACTCGAAAGAGCTTGCCAAGAAGACCAAGATTGGGAGGGGCAGTGATGGGATCTTTTAGCGAGCTCATTAGGAAGGCAGTCGGTGAAAAGGATGATTGTATATCGAGAATTTCCAAGACAATGTACATACCCAGATTGTGCAGTTATGCGTGGACGCTAGATTGGTCAATCTCTCATCTTTGTTGGTTTGGAATGTGAAGTATCTTGCAACGCACGGGTACGTCAGATTCTGAAATGCATCGTCTTCACAGCTCATAATATTAGCAAAACCGTACGGCCAATGAATCTCATGCGGTACACCTGTAAGTTGTGAGGCAAAAAAAGAAAAAAAGATTTAAATATCGCTCTAAAAACTCAATTTTGCTACAATGCTAATTTTGGACCTCATCGTAGAAACCAAGTTAGCCTACAAGCACGTCTCATTGTAAGCGCTTCTGCACGAGTGTTTCTTCGCCCGCAGATAAGTAAGGTTCCTTGAGAAACGCAAGTCGAAAGAGGTCTGCAAGGGGTCTAGCACTGAATCACCGAGGCCCACTGCTTACGTAAAACCACGGTTTGGGTTAGACCTTGTGTAAATGACCGGCCCTCATATTTCAGTGGTAGAAAGTACTAATCGGAAAGTCGCAAGTTCGACTTCCATTGAGAGCACTTGGAGTTCCTTTTATTTATTTATTCATTTATTTATTTATTTATTAGCGATATTTATGCAGGCTTGCTCAGTTCAGCTTCAAGCAGGTTTGAATAGAGGCCTGCTTAGGAGATATTACGTAAAAAAAAATGGACTTAGAAATATAAAACACTAGAGGAGCCCACAACAAATTACAATTTACACTTAAGATAAAAAGCATACATTACATTTCATAGTACAACGCATCAATTACATAAATGAAGTTTGAGAAGTTTCTTAAAATTAGGCCGGCAGTTAAGTCATGTTACGTAGTTTATTAGTCAGAGTATTTCACGCATTTGCACCTTTGTAACTAAAGGAACCTTAATATTTCGATGTTTTAGCAGGGGTAATTGCAAAAGGTCTCTATATCTGGTATTGAAGGCATAATATTTGCAGGAAAAACTAGATCCATTCAAGGGATAGGCGAGCGTGAGACCGTGTAGGCATTTAAACGCTTGGAGGCAAGTGTGATATTTCGTGTGATTTTCTAAGGAGGGCCAGCTAAAAGTACCGCCTACACTTTCTACTGTACGTCCTTCGATGATACGAGCTGTTCGAAGTTGCAATTTGTTCAGGAAGTCTCGATTTGTTTTTCCGCAGCCATCCCAGATTACTCAGCAGTAGTTGAACGGTAAAAGTATCATTGGGTCATAGAATGTGCTCCTTTTGTGTCATTCACTGAATAAGATCATCTTTCACATAAATAAAAGTGTTCATTAAGCACCCCAGTAACCACCTCTTTTAAATGGGCATAATTCACCGGTCATGTAATTCGTAACAGTTACTTTCTTTTTCATGTAAACAATAAAATGAAGCGAAGTTGATTCAAACGAGTACCTCGTTTTATGACAGCTACTGGCATCAAGGGAGACTTAAGATCCCACACTTTATACAATCGATCATAACTCCCTGGAAATCAGACACAAAGACATATAGTTAACCCTTTGACCTCAAGAGTGACTGGCATCTAATTTCTCCTCACAATATCAACCCCCGAATCAAACATAAAGGTTATGAGAATAAAGGAAATGATCACCAACTAAGGAAGCTCTTGATTGTTAGACAAATTCTCCTTGTCAGCACCTTAGGAAATGTATGGAGAACAGTATGAGGAAAATTTATACTGACGCCAGGGTGAAAAGGGGCAACTGATACAACTCACGATATCAAAAAGATCAAACGGTGAAAAATGTGACATGAAATGCGTTGTGGTATCAAGGAAACGTCCCTTCCCCCCCCCCCCCCTCCCTAACACCCACTAACTCCTGCGCTAATCTTTTCTCATCTTACTGCCACTGATGTCAACATTGCGGCATAGTTGGTATACCTGTGATCACAAAGTTTATGGTTTACCTGTCACAAGGTAGTCGGGACATTCTCGACACCAAGCGAGATCTTTGATCACTGATGAGTTCGCCAGAATATGAAGGAAAGGAGCCAGACCTGCAAAAGATGACATTAAAAATATAAAATCAGCAAACTATGCAGTAAAAAGACAAACAAACTTCCATCTCCAGAGAATTACACAAGAAGCCACCCATTGGTATCTCTTTATGAAATATTGAGATTGGAGACTTTGGCAAATCATTTATCCTTCGATGATGCCACCTATTTGAAAAGGCAGTGAATTTCTACTAAAAATAGGAAGGGAGAGCTTTAGAATATAACCTCTGCGTTGGTTAATTAATTTTCTGAGTTTCTGGTACAAATAGGACAAAAGTTTACACCATGTCTCAAAAATTGTAAAGGATGTCTCATTCATTCGTAGGCCTAAATTAAGTCTGTGTTCATTTAGTCATTATACAAATTTCTTTCCGAGACGTTCAGTAATCACCACTGCCCTACAGTAAAGGTTAAGTCTGGAAGCTATCGAAAGTCAATGGGAATGAATACGTGTATACTCACGAAATGTTTTTCCTTCATTCTCGGTTTCCTTTAGCAACGGCGATTCTGTCGTGAGATTCCATATTGCCACCGATCCTGAAAGACGTGTCAACATTAGCATGCAATAAACCCGAAAAGGGTTCTTTCAAGGAAAATTGCTGCCCCTACCCCCTAAAAAAACAAGACACTGAGGTCGATTTTTATTGTACATTCTATCAACTCTATCACTCTAGGAATATCCAGCTTACGAAGTCAATAGTAACGATTAAGGACAAATGTTAAGCCTGAGTTGTAACACCGATACCATTCACTAAAATTGATCTTTCACTCCACAGGCGCTTTTTAGAAATTACAACTGCATAGCCAAATTACCCCGTCAAATTATATGGCAACAGGTGTCGGTGCTGTGGAGGAAACTTCTTCAAATCTATTGATTTTTAGTGCTAAAAAGTTCTCACCATCAGAAAATCCAGCCGCTATCTTCTCGTGCATGGCACAGGGAAACCACTTTGCACACCAAGCTTGACCACTCTCCCCACTATAAGCCACGCCCAAGGAACATGGAATCAACTTAGCATGGGGAATAGGACGAAACATCACTGATAATGATGAAAAGGAAGATTCATTAAAAATCTGTGTCTCTGTGGTTATCTGAGACAGAACTGGCCGATAATACAGTGTATGAAACAACTATAGAATTTTACCCAAAATCAGCACTTGTTCCCGATCAGTTCTTGCACTTTGTTATACCTTTTCGAACGGTTCTCCAGCATATCATCATATAAGTCCCAGTTTGGCCAAGCCGAAATACCCATGGCGCGACCAGACCGGCAGTTTTCAACAAAAACCAAAAGAATGTGCGAGGCTACATGCTGTTTTGGATAATCACCCTAAAAACGCAATTCGCCACTTCCGCTAAATAAGGAAGTTCTTTTAAAATTAATTTTTTGCTAATCCATGAAAAAAAAAACTGTTTAAAATCACGTTCAAAACCACACCTGTCTTAAAATTGTTCTTTGAGTCCTTCACCTCTTGGGCAGATTCCAACTCAGATGGCCAAGGAATGCTGCAAAACAAACAGCGTCATTATCACTTACATCGCTGATCCAAAAATTGAGTTGAACAGAAGAGAAGCAAAGTTGGCCTCTACTTTAAAACTATTACCCATCTTTGATCCTTTTTTCTCCGGTAATGTTGTACTGCATCTGATTTAAGCTGTTGTAAGTCGTATCTACGCCACTCGCCTACTATTTACAGATAACTACAGAAATTCTTTTTTGCTGTATTTTTCAGTTCAATTTCGCAAAACTCTAAGACAAGCCTTCTTAAAACATGGCCAGATTACGTCTCGGTAGCCTATTTTCAATCATGAAGGATTTCAGAACAAGAAAACAAATGGATGGCGAAAAGGTGGCCTGACAGTTAACAAAATATTCACTGTTCGGAACACTGAGGTGTTTGACTGGAATTTTGTCGGTTATTGACTAACATCAAAGTGAACTCTTCTCCATTAAAACTAAATAGTTTATCATGTCTTTCGACAATTTAATCCAATCAATTTTCTGGTCAAAAATATCATCCCAATCACCAAAAAACGCTGTGTATCACAGTGTGTGCCTAGAAATGCTGTGAATCATAACTTTACAGCAAAAAGGTTTATTAAATTACCTCAGAATCCGAACCAAGCCATCGCTACATGCTACAACCATAACACCAAGACGAGGAAGACACTCTGTCTAGCAAAGATGGCATAGTAATGGAATCAAATATCTGATTGGTGCTACGTTGGAGGGGGGAACTACAAGGTAATTTGGTTTTAACAACTGAGATGATGATGGTAAATTTTCTTCTCCCTAAAGATTTTCTAAGAGCCTGTTTACTAGAAGGTGGGAGATCCCAAGTAGGTTGGGTAACTTTTCTAGCCGTGGTCGAGAAAAAGCCCGCGTTTACATACAATTTCACAACCCCAGGATCCCGGGGCGAGGTTGTTGGCGCGCTTGTAAATGGGGACCTTAAGCAAACCACGACAGCGACGGCAACGAGGACATGGAAAAACAAAAGATCTAATTGGCAGAACAATAGCTCAGCACGTGCGTTTTAAAACTTTGTACATTTCTTAGCCGTCCCATGCTAAACAACAACGTGAAATCACCACAATTTGCGTCGTCTGCGAACCGAAACCGCGACGGCAAATTATTTTAATTTCCTTTTTGAAACTGAACACTTCTTTTATACGTTATGCTGAAGTTGAGGTGTGGCGCCGTATGAGACGATAAACACATGCAGCCATTTTTCAAATTCTAATTAAAGGCAGAAATTCATTTTTTAATCGAAGTCTTTATTAGCGTTGCCGTTCTAAAGGTCCCTAATGAAACATGAACGCCACCCCGGCTAGGCGGGTTACCCTACCCGATAGACCGCGCAATCCGCCTGGGCGGGTTATTCCACCTATCATGTAAACGTGATCAAGATAAAAAAGAGATTATATGGATAGGCGGGGAGCGTTAAGCCTTCGTCAGATTGATTAGGGAGTTTAAGAAACGACGACGGCGACGCCGTGGACAACGTAAGTTAAAAAATGAACTTATATTTTACCTACGAATCTCGCGATACTCTAAAGTCATTAAGTCTGTTTATCGCTGTCAAAACTATCTCGAAACTGAATACGGAACACAGTGTTGAAATAAAAATTTAAAAAATTCGCCGTCGCTGTTCACGTTCTCCAGACAACGCAAAGTTTGGTCATTTCACGTTGTTGTTTTGCATAACTTCAAAGTGAAGCAGACAACTATTGTTCTGAGTTTAGCCAATAAAGGCACGCTCAAAACGTCAGCTTTAAAACTTTTTACAGCGCTTACTCTGTCAAATTATCCTGTAAGGACCATGATCTGCCAATCGTCTATTTTTGGATTCAAAAATAATTAAAGGCAACGAGTAAATGGCTCTCTGTCATTCCTAATGCCGCCAATCGGTATTCAAAAAATAATTTCCTACCAAATTTCAACTTCAGCAAAGCGCGTCTCATGATACAAGCGGAGGAAAAGGCAAACAACATCTTTGAATCTAGCTCCCAGTCTGACTTCGAGATCAAACAACAGGAGGGATTTTTATGGATTTCATCAGTTTTGACTAGTAAGCAATCACGTCCATCCGCCTCTCTCACCATGGGAAATGTTTATTTTAAGGGGGCATAGTGTACTTACTTGGTTTTTATCAGAGAAGGAAGGTTCCCATGTTCCAGACGGACACCAGCTGATGTCCCATATGGCACCAAAGTCGTGCGCTATGCCGAGTGACAAGGTTGGTTTCGACCCTGAACTGAAAGAGAGAAGAGCTTTCCAGCTAAATTGCGAAAAGGAAAAGGGCTTACGTTACTTGTCGAGGACTGATTCTGCAAGCCCTCTTTTGTTGGTAATAAAGGGATCCTTTAGAATAAAAATCACAACTTACAGTTGAAAGGAATTGAAATAAAACGTTGTTTAATACAACTTAAAAATATCTGGTTGGGTAAGTAAATAAACAAATGAAATAACCATAAATGTCACCAACAGTTAAAGTCAGAGGAGGCGATTGCGACCGATTTTACAAGGAGTTTTGCAGTAACTGGTTAAGTGTGACCGCAAAGAAATCACTTTTATCACACAAACGAGAGTCGCACTGAATATATCTCACACTAAAAATCTTCTTTGTTGTAAGATGTTTTTTAAAAATGAAAAATTCAGCAACAACAAAAAAAACTATCATTAACTCTTACCTAGCTGAGTTCACTTTTAACTGACCAACATTCCACAGTTGTATAAGTCCTTTTCTTGAAAAACATTTATGAACATTGTGAACCTAAGATGAAATAATGCGACGCCTTAGATATGGGGCAAACATTTGAAAGAAAGTCATTTTTTTCAATTTATATATATCATACAGGAACACCGTATCAAATAGGTCATAGCAATCAAAGTGTTTCATTTTAATATACTCTAACTGCTTCTTGAGTTCACTGAGAGGTTTCTTTGGATATTCTTCTGTGCTAACTAATCTTTGAGCGAACTTCCCATCCTATTCTTGAACAGCACAACTGGTCTTAAATGTCGCCCAGCGAGAACAAAACAGAGAAATTCTATGCCCTTTTTGTGTTATAGTAGCATTACTCTCCATCTGGAGAGAAAGGAACAATGGATTGATGATCTCTGTGTGTCTTCCTAATCGGCTACCAAGTTTGTTGATTGGTTGAATCCACTGAGTTGCTAATGTAAATTGGCCACTGTTAAAAGTTTCAAAGCTGACGTTTCGAGCGTTAGCCCTTCGTCTTTCGCTCTGAAGAAAGGCTCACGTTCCAAACGTCAGCTTTGAAACACTTAACGGTAGCCAATTTACGTTATCAACTCAGTTGATAATACCAAATTACCCTGTTATACTCCCCCACCGACTCAACACCACTTTTTTTTTAGAAACTAACCCCCCTTATTCATTTACCAAGTTGGTTGATTCGTTCTTAGTACCTTTGTTGTTACTTTGCTTTCTAAAAAACCATAGCACTTTGATCACCCTTTTGAGTCATACTTCAAATTATCAGACGTTCTGTCGACTCACCTCGTCGAATGATCTATGCGTGCTAATTGCCAAATACTGATCTGAATTCTTGGTTGAGTCTAAAATACATATCACAAAACAAAGCAAGGTAAATAATGGTTTTATGGTTAATCTTCTGTACCCCATCTGGATAACTGCATCAAACTCCAAATAACACAGGTCTGAAAGGGACACAAACTAGATGAGTTACCTGGTACTGGGCACCAATCCATTGCCCAGACTGGTCCACCAACATTGAAAGTAACGTCACCATGAAGAGAACCTAACAAGAAGTAACTTTATTAGTTGGCAGCAAAGCACAAGGCATAAATTATCGGCATGAAATACAGCGGGATAACTTATGTCGTCTTTCATAGTATTTCTATTTGCTATCATTTTATGGTTATAATTTTTGCTATTAGACCTGAAAAGTGTTCTTTCTTTCATTTCAACACTATGATGCTCGTCTCTTGAAGAAGAAACTAAATGTTGATTCCATGACAATTTTATTTTCAACCAAGATCAAGGTATCAGCCTAAATTTGCGAAATATGCGCCGCTATTGACGGTTTCATGCTCGAAAGGTCTGTTGTGAACGGCAAAGCCCTCACATCGTTCATTTTTTTTTTTTTTTTTTTTTTTTTTTACCAGGACAGAGTAATGTAGAATTTACATCTTTTAGTATTTCCTTCAGCTCGAGTGACTAGACTCGTCTACCTTAGTACCCTAATACACATTATCTTCAAAATTTAATTGAAAGAGGCTCCGTTGAATATCTTACTATGATCTTTAGATGTGCTCTCAAACAATGGAAGTTCTGTGCTCTCCTCCAAGCTCTGACTGTCTCCTTTTCTTCTTATTTGAAACGGTGGTGAGGTGGTTGCTTCAGGTAAATACTGGTCGACTTCACTATCAAAAGAGGAGAAAAATCGAATTAAATAAACACATTCAAAATGGTGAATAACTCGGATAATTGGTCTTCATGCGTTTCTCATCAAAATATGATACAATATATACTAAAATAATAATGATAATAGCAAAAATGACTTTATTTTAGCTTTTCCATTAGATGGCTCTTTATCTGAAATATCTAAGTATAAATATAAGTACTGATACACAAATTCTAAAAACTGTGGTTCGTGTATCTTGGGAAAAATTAGTTGTGACTAAGTGAATTAAGAAAGTATTTGAAGTTATCATTGCAGAATATTTTAGAAGAAGGATAATCACAATCAAGTGTATCTTTATACTTAGATGTTGTATTTGCCAAGTGTCTAATGGTGCAGCAGGTTTCCAGAACATACAAAATCCAAAGGACCTTTTATAATCATGTGATCACAGCCACAAACACATTTTTAGAGAGGGTTTTAGAATCCCAAACATATCCTATTTAAGTGTAAACCTTTTTTTACAATGATCATTGGCAGAACTTTTATTAGGCCTTATCTGGACTAAGATACACGCACTATACGGACACTTCATCCATCACACATTGGAAAATTCGAAAATGGAATACCAAACGCAATTAAACCTTGACAATGACTTACCTGAGCTCAACTTTACACCAGTATGAGGAGGAGGGTCTCAAGTTTGGGAACAGGTCCTTATGTGTATACTCTTGCTTGCGCCTAAAGATTACAACAGTAGTAACACACAATCAAATTAAGAGACCCTGAGGTACAAAATGAGTTCTTTAACAAACAAAAAAAGGCAACAACAAAATGCTATTTCCGAGTTGCACACAATCTCTGTTTTGACAATGGTAGGTTTAAACCGTTTGCTATGGAATTAATTGGTCAGAGGTTTTGCACTTATCAGTCTCGTTTCAAAAGTGAGGGTCGTCGTACGGGAATTTTTTGTGCAATTGATGGGCAATAAAGGAATGCAGGGGCTGCAAAAGCCATAGAAAATTAATCGATATCAACTCGGGCGTTTCATCTTTTAAGCGCACCAAAATTTCAAAGGTTCTGTCTTGCGCATATGCTTTTCATTACCACCAAGACTTTACTGTTTTACCAGCTTTCTGTTGTTGTGTAACTCTCCGAGTCCTTTGCCCCAATAGGTCCAAATCTCACATCTTCACCAGACGTTCTGTTAGGCGGTTGTCTCTTTTTTCTTGGTTTCTTGAACTTTGCTCTCGTGTCATCCCAGACAACAATTTCTTCGGCATCCTCCAGGTGGTCATTTAGTTCGCTACCACTATCGTCGATCTCTTCAATCTCTACATCGTCACTGTCATCTTCACTCTCTCCTGAACTGGCAGCTTGAAAATCCACATCACTGCTGTCGGACTTCTCCATTCCCTTTGGCTGTTAATTTACAAAAAGTAAATCACATGTAAGAGCTGGCTATTCTGATAGCCTCTCTGACCCTTTGACCCCTCACAGTGACCAGCATCTAATTTCTCCTTACAATATCTTCGCAAAATCACACTTAAATGTCACGAGAATAAAGGACATTATCACCAATTAAAAAAACTGTTGATTGTTAAAGAAATTGTCCCTAATAGTACCTTGGGAAATATATAGAGAACAGTATGGAGAATATGCATATTGATATTAGGTTATGAAGGGTTAATCCATTACAGCACAAATGGACACGCGATGAGGTAACTGATCACGTCGAAATGAAGTTTGATCGTAAAGTCTAATCGTCAAGACGAGGAAGTTACATATACATTTTGAATTTCGCAAAAGTAAGGTGAAGAATTAGTTGTCATTCCAAGACAGCTCTGTCAGCTTGGTTCTTTGGTTATATTAAAAACCTCAATAGGCTGTTCGAAGCTTAGGTGGCGGAAGTTGTTGATATCTGTTTAGAAGATTTTGCTCTAAGGTACTATTTCACTACCTTATATTTTAGAATCCCTCCCAGCCTGTTCCAGGCGTTAATTTAGTAAAACAGAGCGCAACAGTAAACAACGCCAAAGTAGGGGAGGAACAAACAAACAAACAAACAAAAAAATAGCCAGAGAGGTTTTGGTTACTCACTGAACGCAGGTTAGCAACTTACAGGCGATTTATCATAGATTGCAGTAAGACTTTAGCAAAAAGCCATTTGACCTCCGCCTTGTTACTTTCGATGGCAAAGGATCCCACAGCAAAAATTTCCCGCTGCGACCGTTAATCACATCATGTAGTTATCAGGGATTTCAGTGACTTTTTTTCATAAGCGATTGCTGATGGTGTAAAAGGCAGCTGTACCGCTTGGAGAGGGCCCTGGAAAGGGATTGTAACGAGTGCCTGCAAGCAGGCTACACGAACAGCGGTAAGATGTCTTAGAGGTGGGGGTAAACCGCTGGTTGCCGCCTGTTAATGAAACCCCGGCAGCAATGGATGTTATCAAGAACAGCCATTATTTTGCCTTAATTAATGACACTGTTCTTTGATTAAAAAATAATATTTACCATATATCCAACATGAAGATGCTTGATGTGCTTCTGGATGATTAGTAAGGATAGATACTTCTTGCCACATGCCAGACACTTGTAAGAGATTGCTTTCGCACAGGATTGCAGATGCTCTTTGAGGCTTGACACTGCCTTAAATGTTTCTGAACACCCCTGAAGAAAGTCGAGAATGAAAACAAAATATATGTAAAACCAGGAGTTTGAATAACTTTTTCCATAAGCGGCTGTGCAAAAAAAAAAGGCTGCAATGCTGGCACAACCCAAACATGACAGCCTTCACATGCAGGATAAACAGACAGCAGTAAGAGGTTTCACAGGTGGCGGTAGACTAGCAACCAGCCTAATTACTGAAACTCCAGTGCAACACCCGAAAGAGTGCATAATTTTTTATGTCTGATACTCTCCGCACCTGTGTCTTACCCACAAAACATGACACACAACACTTGACTGTCATGCAGTATAAAAACTCACCACGCCAGGACAAACAATATCTGACTCTGTCTTCAGCATCTCATTCCATTTGTCCTCTTGCTCCTTTGAAACAACTCTTCCTTTAATTTTGGATATCAGCTGGCCAAGGGCTCTCTTTTCTGTCTTTTTGGCCAGATTGATTTCTTCAAGTTCTTGGTCTGTTGTTATTTGCTGCACCTTTGATATGGCCCTTTAGCGATATAATAATAATAATAATAATAATAATAATAATAATAAAGTAATGAAACAGATTAAATTGGCTGAATTCTAGAAGGTGAGGCTTGCATCTATGGTCTGTCGGCCTAGGATTTTGCTTTCTGGTAGCATAACTACAGCTGCATGACCCAAAAAACTGTCCTTAATTCCCGTGTAAGTAGTTAAAGCGCCATGTACACTTAAAATTCAGGTTCTTTCCCCTTAAATGCATTACCCTAGGAGCAGGTCCCCTGAGTATTGGTGGGCATGGGGGCCAAAATCACAAGAAAAAAGATGGTCACTTGACAACTTGTCTCTCATTGCTTTTCCGCTTATGGCCCAAGCACTAACAAGAGCTTGAAAGTAGGTTGTCAATTTGTTGGAAATTGTTTCACTCAAACACATGTTAACACTTCTTCAATAACAGTGGAGGGTGGGGAGGGCAGCAATACTTCTCAGGAACAAGGAAGTCACCATGGCAACTGCACAGCAGGCCACTTCAAGACACCTGTCACACAACACCTACAAACTGGTATGTGGAATAAATTTTCACCCAAAAGTGGAAGGGGAGAGGACAGAAAATAGAAAGAAAAGCGGCAGGAAATTCAAGCAAAAACATGTAGCAATGCCCCTGAAAACCTCCCAGGGTTAAAGCACTGCACTGACTTGGTTTTAACCAGACCTAAATTGTAGCCCCATGAAAAGTAAGCAAGAGAGCAGGCAGCAAAGAGTGGGATTCAAGATTAAGACACCAACAAGAATACTGTGTTGCATTCCTGCAGCGTTCCACTTTACCTTGAAGCTGCCTTTCTTCTTCTTCTTCCACTTGGTAGAATTTCAGGCTCCTCTTCCTAAGAAAGCAAAAGGCTAATCAACATCAAAAGTCCTCTATCTCAGGCTTCAACTGACATTTTGTTGAGCTTTACAAAAAGTGTCTGAGTTCCAGAACACTTTAATATCAGAGTACAAGGATGAACATCAGGGTCAGATGATCAAAGAGTGGATCAAGCCATCCAGTGGATAAATTATTATCCAGTGAATAATGCACTATCTACCAGATAGAAATTTATCCAGTTAAAAGTGTTATCCATTATATATTAAGCGAAAAGGACTATGGGACATGAGAATGAACTGGCCATGTTGTTATAAGAAGCATGCTTTGATTAAAGTTGTGTTTAGAGTCAATCCTATTGTTTTGTTGGTCATTGGACCCCAAACAGCACACATCCTTTGAGCAACGTGGCCATAAGTTTTAAAAATGGAAGTGCTCAAAAATCTCACATTTTGAAAGTTAGTACAAAAGAATCCTAAGGGCATCTAGGTAGAAATAAAAAGTTTGGATATCAATGGTACAGGGATCTAAGTTGGAAGCATAAAAAAAAAATGTTTCCATAGTAACTGGAAATAAGAAAAAACAATTTAATCTTGCTGTACCTCATCCTTAACCTCAGAATGATCACTGTTGATGGGTTCACTCTAGGTAGAGGAAAAAATACATTAATTACAGGAGATAAAGATGCATGAAGACAGCATACACAAAATAACATCATCTGCATCAAGTATCTTGCATTAATTAAATTGGCACAGTACAAAAAGTTACCTCTGTGTGTTTAGCCTTCATATGATATGTAAGTCCTGGATAGGACATGTATTGTTTTCCACAAATCTCACAAGGAAACTTCTCTCTCTCCTCCTCTTTTATTCCACATATTTTCACGTGGCTTTGGTATCCAAGGGCAGTCGTGAACTTCGCTCTACACCCCTGGTTTGGGCACGCTAAGGACTGTCCTGACTTCACGAGTCTTTTCAGTCTTGTAGACTGAAATGAAAGATGTAAATATTCTAGGCTGTTCATACTACAGTTAGTAAAGGCATGGGTGATGGTGAAATGTTACAAAATTTGATGCTTAAGTTTTCCATGCAATTTAACTTAATCATATGAGTGTGTTTCATTTAACTAGCAGTTTCATTGAATATCAAACAAACTCGTCTATGAAGAAAAAAAAACAACTTACATCAACAACAAAAACAAATAAAATGAAGGTCATTTCCAGGAAAAACTGTTCAGTCACTGAAATTAAACACCTCCGTGATGAAGATCATAAAGAATTAAGCCTTTAACTCCCAAGACTTCCTTACTAATTTTCCTTATTGTCTCCCTAATGATTCTCATTATTTTAGTTTGGAGAATTTGGTATTGGATCAATAAGTAATCCCATAATTAATAATTTTCTTTATTCTCATCATTTGTCTGTTTGATATTGTATTGATATTGTAAGGAGAAATTCTGTCTTGGTCACTCACAGGAATTAAAGGGTTAAACATTTACATTTATTATAGTGCTTCTTATTTGCAAGTTGAAAATTGTGAAGTTAATAAAATCATGTATCTCTAATGAGCAATATGCAGTAGGTAGGATTTCATTCAAAATTACATACATCAATAGTTTGCTTTCCTAGATTAATTATTATAGGACCATTATTTATTGCCTTGTAAACAACTGGCATCTATTCACATGATTCTGCATCATGATGTGTTTCTAATAGGAAACATTACCTCAGCCACTTCCTTCTGTTGGAAAAAAATTAAAAGCAAAAGGTATCAATGTATGATCATCATTTAACAATGATCTAGATAACAGCATGAAAATATATGTGATACCCTTTATGATGCTGTTCAACCCTTTCAGTCCCAAAAATGCTCTTGCATAAGGCGGTTTTGAGTGGCATGTACAATTCAGCCTGCAGAATCTTTAAGGTTTAAACGTGGGAAGTTTGTGTAACACAAAATGAAATAACTAGTTCTTGTACTTAGTAGTTTCTCAGAATAACAAAAAACAAAAGCACATTTAGTAAGTTGTTTTAAACAAAAAGGTTTTGGAGCAGTATAATGATGCAATTCTATGTAAAAAAATTAATTGAAACCATAGTTGGGAAATTGAAGGTTAATATCACACTGCTCTCTTGTAAACACGACTTACTGTTCCTAAATAAATTCATCATAATGCAGCAACTTTTCTCAAAAGGATTCCACCTGACTGATACACTTAGTACACTACAACTAATTTTTAAACCTCAATGTTTAACAAACCTTTGATAATCTGCCCTTCTTTGCTGGCTTGGCAGCTTCTTTTCCATTAAATAATGATATGAAAGAAAGTGACTATCATGAATAAGAACAGTACCTAGACATTTAAGAAGGACTCTTACAGTGTGACCACTGATACCAGCTTTACTTTCCAAAACTAATCACAATCAAACAACACAACATGATCAAACAACACAATAGCCGATCTATAAAGACCTATGAGGGAACACCATCTAGCAACTGAAATAATAATGAGGATTGAAATGCGCCAATAGCAGTGTACCAACGTGCTACAAATAGTGACACGTAAATAATTGACCTCATCTCCTGATGAAGACTGGCAGTATTGTGGTTGATATGTTGCGATCAACATCAAAAAAGACTCTATCATGAGACAAATGAACAAAGTTTATCTCTTATTATCATTATCCTCATAAATTCACTATACCTGCTTTTTTGGTGTCTTTAGCTTTTTTCTTAGTACTTTCTTCATCATTTTCAAAATCATCATCATCATCATTATCTCTATCCTCAGCATCATCATCATCATCATCACTTTCCTGGCCAGCACTGTCATCATCATCACCATCATCATTCTCATCATCAATACCGTCACCATCCTCAATTACAATGTCAACTTCATTGGCAACATCACCTTCATGAACATTATCCTCTCCATCACCAACAATATTGGTACCTCTGTCCACTTTATCATTACCAATTCCTCTCACTTTTTCATTGCCAACATTAACAACATCAGATTCATAACTGGCAGTGTCACCTTTGCGCTTCCTTCCATGTTTTTTACAAGGTCCCTCAATAACATTACGACTTTCCACTAATGAACTTTTTGGTTTTCTTCCTCTCTTTTTAGGGGTATTATCTGAAACACCAGCTTCACTGTCCTCTTTCCTTCGTTTGTTCCCCCTTTTATTTTTAGTTGTATCTTCCTCCTCATAAACAAAAGTGTTTTTTCGAGGAGTCCGTACTCTTGTAGAAGTTCTTCTTCCAGTGCCATCAGAATTTTCTCCTTTCTTGGGTAATTCAACTGATGGAGATAATGTTTCACTGGCATCCTTGTTCATCTCCGTCAAATCAAAAGTTACACTGTTATTGTTCTTGGCTGATGTATCTGTATTTTTCTTTGGTCTACCACGTTTCCTCTTTACGGTTCCATTTGATGAAGCAGCATTTCCCTCCATTTCATTGAAAATTCTATAAAGTAAAAATTGATCCTTACTAATAGTAGACAATTTATGCCTGGTCCAATTGTCTAGGAAATTTCTATCATTGTGGGTTTCTAGCGGAAAATATTTATTTGAAAAGTTAAATCCCACAGCTTATTTTGAATGTGGTAATGTATTAAAATTGCTGCGACAAACTCTCAAATAACTGGAAATCATTTCAAGATACAGGAGGAAGGGTGATGAAGTTTGGAGCTTAGCTTGATAGTCAAATGAAGTGACATTTATTAAGTGACATTTTATTTCAGATATTCAAATATCAGGCATCTTCTTAGGACCAGTTAAGTGCACAATCATTTATTCAACCTGCCATGTTTGATTTGGAGCTAGAGTGGACAGTGGGGGAAGGGGTGTGGAGTGGCCAAAAGACAGCATAATATTTCCTTGATCACCCCCACCCCTCTCCTTATTTTTTACTGTCACTCACCCCCTTAGTACAAATTTCTTTCTCTTCCCAGCCTTCCACTGCCATTAACATCAAAGAATTGGCAGCCATAATTTTCAGTTAATTAGGCCTGCTCTGAAGGCTATAACATAGTATGCATGCCCTGTGGTTTTATCACCTTAACTAATTAAACATAACATAGCTCACCCTGGACTTGCTAGTGGACTTCTACTCTCACTCCCTGAATGATCCAATGTTCTGTGTTCACGTAAAGCAATTCGAGACTGAAACGTTTGATTACACTGCTCACACTTAAACTTCCTCTCTGATGAGACCTCTTGGTGGTTGGCTCGTCTAACATGGTATTTGAGGCCCCAGAGAGACTTGAAGTCTTGATCACAGCCTTTAACAGGACATAGTACCAGCCCATTTTTTAACAGTTCCTCTTTTAGTTCATCCAAGTTTAGTTTGATAGGTAAGTCATCTGTGTCTTTTAGGAGTGACATCGCAGTAATTACTCAATCTATAAAAGATGTGGCAAATTATGAATTAATGAGCTGAATTACAAATGCTTTTTAATTATTAAACTTGGAGTCAATTAGAGCTCAAAGTAAACCAAGCAAACCACCTAGAGCATATCTAACCAAGTTGTGATTGGGTTAAGTATCGAATCTGATTAATTAAGAAGGTTGCTTACAGTTTCTGAACCAATCACAGAACAAAGTAAAGCAAAGCTCAAGCAATTGCATGTACTTCCAACACTTAATTTTAAATTTCTGTAAATAACAATGATAGTCTGAGTAACATCCTATTTAAGTTTAACAAGGCAAACTGACACGACACGATTCAGCACATTATTTTCATACATTGCAGACTCCTGTTGATTAAAATTTTAAACAAATGTAACCCTGGCTTTCTGAAACATATCGATTTAACTGGAAATAAAATAAAAAAGAGAATTTAAAACAAAGAATTGCGCCGTCAGGTTCAGCCCCAGCAGGTCTCGAACCAGCGACCCCAATAACCACGTTGCGAATTCGCTCGCTAAAACTAGCATGGTTTCACCACTGCTTCTCTAGTAGAAATCTTTTCACCGGGGAAGATTGATAAATGCAATGTAAGGATATTTTGGTAAAAATTGATATTCAATTGACAGCAAATTTAACCATTTTTGTTAAAACGTACCTCTAATTTTTCTAGTTTACGTTTCAGTAGAATGCGCCATCTTGTTTCATCTGAAGCTGGTCGGCGTGGATTTCTGGTAGTCTGGAACTGAATAAACTGTAGCTTCCGGAAGCTGCCTGCAACTTCACATCCGGTGGATTATGAACTATGAAAACGAGGCTTTCGTTGGTGGACTTGGTTACCAGGTGAAATATGGCGCCCAAAACAAAAGTACTAACAGTCCTAGATCGGAATGGTGTTCTAATTGACTTCTAGAATTTATGATCGCGATCGCAACTTTTGCGTAGATCACAAGAATATGGAAGGAATTTATGAAGTATCGTCTTCTGAAAAAGTCAAATCTCTGGAAGAAGATCTAAAGAAAGAGCTGAAGGAATTACAAAATGAAGTCGAAGAGGGAAATTTCCTGAGCTCGTCTGCAGCGCCAAAGGCATTCGGGTGAGCCGCTTGTTATCAGTTCAGTCTTTTTAAACCTTTGTGGTGAAAAAATCGTTATCTTATCTGTTTGTCATCTATCTGTGTTTGTATTTTTCCATTCGACATCAGTTTATGCTCAAGATCAAGTCGCGAAGTTTGAATGAAAATGATTCAAAATTACTGTCGTATTTTACTGATTCTGGTTGGTTTTTTGTAATCGACGATACAAAAAAAGGTGACAGTTTCGATTGCCATGCTGACGATGTCACGGTATCAACTGATCAAAGTTGACTATACACTCTTATTACCAAAGATCTGAAGACTATGAATAATTCACAGACAATGAGGATAAATTATTAAATTGCTGCTGACAGCTTTGTTCTGTCCTCACTTGAGAGTGTGTGATGAATATTTGCTCTTGACAGTGATCAAAGTGTTTCCTTTTTCAATTTTTTATTCTCTAAAAGATCTGTTCCGTTGCCTAAGGATGTCGATCACTTTAAAAGAGAAAGGAAGCTTGCCATTAACAAAAGTCTTCAGGTACTGTATTTATGTATGTTTGTTGTTGTTTGTATGACTTTTAGTACGCCACTGTAATTTTGGTTATAATGTACATGAAAAAATTACGAGCTTAAATATTACGTCAGTGTTCTAATTGACAGATAGCTGTGTTAATCTTCACTTACCAATGCATACTGTCAATCACCACATACATGTGTTAAAGAAGGATTTAAGGAATGTATATTTTAGTGATGTTTATCCATTGGCATATAACTTGTTTTCCTGCCCTTCTGTGGATTTGCCTGTGGGAACCATGGGTGTCAGTGAACTTTTTTTCCTAAAGCAGCCATCTTGGTTTTGTAACATTTCAAGCTTGACAGGAAATCAGTTTATTTGATGACTTATTTCTGCTTATTCAACTGTTCTGCTATAGAGAACAACATGTTCAAGCTACACTAAATCTTTCCTGGTGGATTTTGCTCTACAGGTTCGCGAAGCTCAGCCTTTGATTATACAATCAGATGTGATGCAAGAGGAGATGACCAGCTGTTGTCAAGTAGAATATACTGCAAAGAGTATTCCACTTTTGCTTCATCAGGTCAGCTAAAAGTAAAGAGTCTTAATTACACTTCTTTGTGGTTCTCAGAATGACTGATCACTTCATGTGATTTAAACATAATTGATTTGATACTATTTTAAGAACTAGTAAAGCCTTTATACGGGTCCAAGTAGGGGCCGGTGCTGAACTCCAGTTTTCTTAGCATGAAGCGGCTAGGAGTATTGCCACTCCCCCCTGGATGGGATACGAGTCCATCGCAGGGTTACCGCCAGCACATTTGCTGGTACCCTTCTGTACACCTGGGTGAAGAGAAGCACTGTGAGAGTAAAGTGTCTTGCCTAAGAACACAAGACATTGACCCTGGCCAGGGTTCGAACCCGGACCACCTGATCCAGAGTCTAGCACACTAACCATGAGGCCACCACACCTCCACTGAATTTTTGGTTTTTCTTTTTCACAGTTTTTTGTGGACAGAATAGAACACTTGGTTCAGTGTAAACACATGCACATGCTGCGCTGGGCCCGTTTCTGTGAGCACACAAAGGCCATAGAAAATCTGTTTCCTGTGTACCAGAAAAGGCTCAGGTTAGAATGCCAGACCCACTTATTATTCACTGACAATTAAGAACTCTTTACATCCATTACATCAGTATGCATATTATCCATACTGCTCTCTATACATTTCCTATGATACTGACGAGGAGGATACGTTACACAATCAAGGGCTTCTTTAGTTGGTGATCATCTCCTTTATTCTCATAACTGTAATGTTGGAGGTGATGAGGATATTGTTTGGGGAAATTAGAAGCTAGTCAATCACAGGAATGAAAGGGTGAATTGCAGTTTTGTATTATGTGGTTTTAAAATGGGCCATCCACCATTGAATTTTTTGCATATTTGAAGAAAATTTTGGTAAGTATAGGTATTATTTGGAGTCTCAAATTGCGCATGAAGTTACTTGTTTTATATACTTTTCCATAGCTGAGATAAAAATTAGAGTATACTTCTCCTTTTACCCTTAAACTTTTAAGAGTGACCAGCATCTAATTTCTCCTGACATTATCATTGTAACCAAAGATTAAGATCATGAGAATTAAGGAAATGATCACCGACTTATACTCTTTTGATTGTTAACCAAAGTCCTACTAGCAGTGCCACAGGAACTGTGTAGAGAATAGTGTGGATAAATAATGTATACTGACGTCACATATTATGTTCCTAGGCGAGCATTCCTTATGTTCCTAGTCAAGCTCTCAGGTCTGCTGACCAACTTCTACTGGAGCAACCAGCACACAAACTCAAATTGACTGGCCTGAGGGCTTTCTCAGTGTGCACGACTTACCTCTAGAACTATTTGGTTCCATTTGAGATTAAAAGCAGCACATCTGTCTCTATTTTTAAAGCTAAGCTTAAGACCTATCTTTTTTGACAAGCATATTTTTAGACTTTAAATTTTTATTTAATTATAGGTTATGATAATGTGACACTGTAAAGCGCATTTGGGCATTAGGAAAATGCGCTATAGAAATAAATTATTATTATTATTATTATTATTATTATTATAATTATATCCGACTGAATTTGAACTTTATTTGGCGATATCCATCATACTGTATCTCATAACTGAAGATATTTCACGGTAAAGATACATTTCATAATTGTGGTAGGACCCTCTCTGGGAATAAGCGCAGTTGCACATGACTAACCCTTCTTTACCTCCTCTGATATTATTAGTTATATCATGGAAGAATATCAAGATTGTCTCCAGCGCGCGAGAAGGCTGGCTGTGGCATGTGAAGTAACTCTAGCGGGAGGTGATTCGGCGATGAGTGTAGTTACTATGGATGATCTACTGATTTACAGTCGATGGTTCATCTGTATGTTGCATTCAGTGAAGAATATTCATGCATTCATCAGGGTGAGTGTGTTTTTGCGAGTATAGAGCAATTTTCAAGTGAGTGTCAGAAATAATCCGAGATTGTTTTGGTTTTGCTTTACTTTGCGCTGTGATTGGTCCAGAAAAACTCGCGCTATCCTCCCAACCAATCAGATACAAACTAAAATCAATCGTGACCTGGTAATGAGCGTTTTCCCGCGCTTCAAGCAATGTACTTGTTTTTACTTTGAGTTCTCATTGGCTAATGATGATGTACACCTTTCGTCTGATTGGTTGCCGGGATAACTTTGTTTGGTGTTCAACGCCCTACTCTTTAGCCCATTGTTTGGGATTTAGTGAAGGCCTGAAGGAAAGCATGAAAGTGTCTGTTTTGATTGACTGCGTTGGAGTTTTTTTTTGGTTTATCATTGCGTAGTGTGTAAAATTAGAGAGACTCTAATAGTGGAAAACGAGAAAAAAAACCTGTTGAGTAAAGTGTTGGTCATCTCGTGAGAAAAACACTTTAGAACGTGGTGCACAGATCTCGTATGATTGCGACGTATCTTGTTATTGGAAGGCACATCTATTGAGGAACAAAACTCGTCTTGTCGAAAATGCGACCGATCATCGTGAGATGTAAAAAGCATCTCCTACGGAACATACCTAATACTTGCAAAAAACAAGAAATACGTAGCTGGAGAGGAGACACGTCCTTTGAGAGGCGGGGCACATCTCGCAAAAAAAAAATTCGTGTCCAGCGAGATGTGAGAAACAAGTCACCGAGTGAAAAACGACATGCATTTCGTTGGAAACGAAAAAAAGAGACATTCGAGGAAAACGGGAAACGAGATCTCTTGCGAGAAACGAGAAACGAGAAACGAGAAACGAGACATATCTTATGAAAAATGGGACATCTCAAGAAATGTATGGCATTTCACGAGAAACCTGGTGGTTGACATTGAGAAAGTTAGGCAATTTCAACAATATATAATCAAAAAACATTTTTTTTCTCAGACGGTCGAGTGGCTTCCTTTGACACACAAGAACACTATTTTACCTCAAGTCGCTGAAAAAGAAGAAAAACCTCCTGAACAGGAACGAAAGGCCTCTGTGGGACCGCCCTCCAAAGCACGAGGCCAACTGAAGAAGATTCTCAGTCAGGTGTCGATTACGGCCCATCTCCATGTCCTGAGGCCCCAACCCACCCCTGATGCTAGTCTTCCACCACCTCCCCCTCTTAGTCTGACTCCATATCAGCTGGTGTCAGGAACGAATCCCTCCATTGCGGCTGCAGCAGCTGCTTCGGGCGGAGGGTTGGCGTCTGACGAGATAAACCTGAAGTTGCCACTACACGAGACAATTTTTACCACCATAAAGCCGCTGTTGGAGTTCTTTATGACTTGTTATGCTGTTGAGATGGTAAGGATAGAAAACACTTGACCCTGTGCGGATATTTTTTTCCAAGTGACCAAGACATACTTTATTCCTGCAGTGTCAATACAGTGTCAAGTAGACAAGTGATGAGAATGAAGAAAAATAGCAATCGATCTAAATTTTCTGAACTAGCTTCTTGAGAATTGCACAGCGAACAATGAGGAGAATTACTAATGGAATCTTTGTTAGTGAAAGGGATAAACAATTTTCGTCATCATTTACATGAGTTTAACTCTTTGTTTGCAGGACATCAATCAAATCAACACTCATGCAGATGAAATGGATCTCTTTACGATGGTCTCCAGGAGATTCAAAAAAGTTTTCTCCAAACAAGAACAAATGAGAACATTCCCCGTTTACGATGCTTCAATCGAGGTCAGTCAGATGTATGCACTTGTGCGTCTAGTAGGAAGCTACAAAGGCGTCGAAGATCCTGTAATGATAAATATTTGTTGCTTAACTTAGAAAAGAAAGTAACAATCTAGTCGAAGGATTTTGATGAATTTTGTTGACTTACACGTCAATGCGTGTCCATGGTGTGGTACATTCTCAAACTCTCGCTAGCTAGGCAATCTAAATGCAAATCGTAACCGAATAGGAAAGTTTGTTGTGATACAGCAGTGACTTTATGTACAGTGTCATGTTGAATTCAATACATCGACCTGACTGAATGTTACATAGACACATTTTTTTTAAGAAGTAACGTAGCGAGAAATATTTTCTTTCAACCTGATGCAGTGGAACGATTTATTCGTCCAGAAGTTGTTCCTCTTTGATATATCCTTTTGTTTTACAGGAGTTTGGAGATAGCAAAATAAGAAGCGAAGGAGCCTTGCACACTTTTAAGCAGCAATCGAACTGGACCTCTTTTAATTCTCTTAGGTACTGCATCTCAGCTTTTATAATGGGAAATTATGTGACTTGCGCACAAGCAACCAGTAGTTCAGGGATTTTAATAACATTTTCTATAAAAGGATGCCGATGGCGTAATAGGCGGTTGTGCCCAGAGGGGTCTGTACCGCGTAACTGAAACACGAGAGCTTGCCCGCAGACTAAACAGACGGCAGTTAAAGGTTTTACAGGTAGCGGTAGACCGCCGGAAAACCGTTTTTCATGAAACCTCTGGTGGTAACTCGTCTTCCTGAAATCTAACACACAAAAAAAAAAAAAAAAAAAAAAAAAAAGATGTCTAACTGTCTCCACAGCGAGAACCCCTTTCACTCAATTTGTTAGCCCTTTACACCCCACCATCAGTATGCATATTCTCCGCACTGTTCTTTATACATTTCCTAAGGTGCTAACAGGGAGAATTTGTCTAGCAATCACGCTTTTTTCAGGTGGTGATCATTTCCTTTATTCATCTGACCATAATGTGTGATTCTGGGGTGGTATTGTAAGGAGAAATCAGACGCTGGTCATTCTAAGGGTTTAAAGGGTTAAGAGAAGTGAGAGCAGATAAGAGAACGGCAAACGGTAAAAATTTGCACCAAGGTAAAAATTTCTCCCTTGCCTGTGAACAATTAGTTTTGTGATTTTTCTACGAAGTGTAGTTTTGGAATTTTTAGGGGTTTTTTTGTGAACGTAAAGCTCGATACTACTGGAACGAGGTAACGGGAGTGTGCCTTACATGTATCTGTGGCTGGTGATGAATAATTGGAAATACTCTTTTCCGGGACTTTTAGGAAATGGCTCCAAGGTCTAGTTATTTGAAATCGAGTTCCCAAAGGTTACTCATTTGTCGCATTGTTTTACATGTGCAAGGAAGATCTACCAATAAAACTTTGTTCCGGCCTCATAGTGATGTTAGTATTGAGAAAGCTGACAAGAATCTGCAGATTTAATGAGCGAATTAGAATTGCCAAGATTTTCTTGTCGTTATCATCGTGAAAAACACTGCTACTTTGTATTTGCTCTACCAATATGTATAAATGGCTTATGTGAACTCTGTTGTGTTACTTTGCCCTCCTGTAGGCCAGAGCAGGCCTCTATTCAAGTTAAGGCCATGACAAAGCTGAAACATAAAGGCAACATCGATGAGGTAATATGACGCAACCTTTCCAGTTTTACATACTGTGTGGTGTATTTTTTTAGACTTTAATCAATACTGATAATAACAAATGATACTGACATAATAATATTTTCTCTCCTATCCTTTTAGTTACTTAGAGCTCATTCACGTTTCCTTCATGTACAAGATGGCCAGGTGAGGTGAAATGTGAAAAAAAGAAAACTTGAAATATATTGAAGTCTGCTTTCACAGGACAGTGGTTTTATTTCTCATCCCTGACCTTGCTAGTAGATTTGCCCTCTTTATATCATATACCTCATTGTGCCGATACAAGTACATGTAGAAAGTTACTCATAAGTTGAATGATCGCAATTCAAATGAATACCATATTTCTGTGATGACCCCAAATACCGCCATAACATAACCATATTTCATATTTAACCACTGTGAGCGACTGATGTACAGTGCACATAATTGGTAAATGACTGATAGTTCTTTATTGATGTTGGCATAAGAACTTTACTTAAAGCAAAGACTAACTGATAACTCCCTTAAAGAAAAGAAAATATCTCGAAAGTTTCCTGGCCATATTTGTGGAAAAGCCGCTGGCTTCTCTTAAATTTTTTGGGTGCGTTATATAGGACCCTAAATGTAACTTGGTGCTGAGTTCTTTATTAACACCGTTTAAAAAAAATTGTTGATTTTGAATATACTGCTTCTTTAGAGAATACTATCATCATTAAAAGAACATGCTAAAGCTGTCTTGGAGCCGCCAAAACCTCATGCAGTTTCTGTGACGACTTACCGCGCTGAGAATGACACGGCTGCAGTTTGGAAACGTATCTTCAGCTATGCTTCTGTGAGGTAAATCTTTGATATCGTAACCTTTAAGGTGTTTGACCCTTGCATTAAGCGTGGTAGTTGAGTGACTCTTCTTACTGCGTGAGATATGTCTTCTTACGGGCGCCCGTGAATCGGTGTTTGGTCAGCAACGCTTCGGGGTGTGCACTTTTTATACCCTTCAAAGAGGAAATTTTTGTACAATTTCATAAAGATTTCCCCCAAAAAAGGCGCAGGTCACCAATGTGTTTACAGTATTGGGTTATCAGCAGATCTGCCAAACACCGGTAAAATATTTTGTTGTTGTTAGAAATAACAAGTGTATACATCCAATTGCGATTGGCGAGAAACCGGCTAAGGTAGGTTAGTCAATACACATAGGCAAAAAAAAGGAGAGTGTTCCGGGGAATGAAAGGCTTACATATGCTAAATTTTGGCGATTAAGCTCTTAACTTGAATCTATTGAAATTGCAGAAGTATTGTACGAGAAAACATTATTCGTCCAGGCACTTAAACATATCCAATTGTAAACTACCAGTGATTTAAAGTTAGCGCTTAGCCGGAAACCTCGCGGAATACTCTAGAGCATCACTTAGACAAGATTTAGCAAGTTTTGCGTCAAAACAAATCAACCTGAAAATGTCCATTTTCTCATCTGTATGTGGGACTCATAGCTTTTCTCTTGTCATCTTCTTTCATTTGCTGAACAGTTTGAGCTCCAAGGATGATGTTCTGGAGTTTGACACCAAAATCAGTGAAGACGACATGGGTGGTAATAGTAACTCCACTGGTGAATTTGATCTTGGTACTGCGGTGGAACTTCTCGGCTTGGATGACGAAGATGCTAAGACTCAGGCCAGTAAACTTCAAGGCGCCTACATGTCCTTTCTCCTTCTGAGGCACCTTAGGCTAAGGGATCTGCAGAGATCGGTGAGAAATGGTCCATATTTCATAAATGCCGAGAGTATATTTTTTTAATAAGCGTGTCCAAATGAATAAACCGCGAAGGGCCCACATTGCCTACGTCCTTCTAAGGCACCTTAGGCGTAGGGATCTCAATTGAGGGGTGATGAATGGTCCCCATTTCAGTATTGATAAGGGAGGGGGATCTTTTCCAATGACCGTGCCCAAGGGATTTATCCACAAGGGACCTGCAAGCCCCTTTTCCCTCTAAGATACCTCAAAGGAAGGGATCTTTAACGATCGGTAGGAAATGGCCCTATTCACTATTTTCGGGAAATGGAGGGGGGGTCTTTGTCACTATGCGTGTCCAAATTAGTTAGCCTTAGGAAAGGTTGTAATATATTCAACCGTAGAGAACATGATTTAAATGACAGTAACCAGTCTGTAACAACTAAGAAAAGGTAAAGATTTTTTTCACAATGTACAAGGCTTCGTTTGAATTGTAATTTTTCAGTGCCTTGGCATACTCAACTACTTCAAGTCAACTGAGAGAACGTTAACGATTAATGATGGTGGCTTGTCATTGGAAGGAGGAAAACAAAAGGCGTCCAAGTGAGTTATCTGTTCGATCAAACGAGAGTAATGTGTTAAACTTGTGTGCAGGAATATCAGGAAAAGCATTATCTTCGTTGTCATCGTCCTTTTTCCTCTTCGTTGAGTATAAATGAGTAAAGAATCCATCTGCGAAATCTTCACCTACATGTACTTCTATACGTTGAATATCACGTGCTCAATGACGATGTATTTATTGCCTTAGGGGAAGGGTATGAGGGGAAATATTTGGCTCGCGGTGATGAAGTATTGAACGAGCTCCGCGATGACCGAAAGGCCAAATGTTTTCCCAGCCGGCCCTTCGTTCACACACATCAGCTGTAATTTTAGTTTCCTAAAGAATTGCGTGCGCGGAACCTTATAGGTTATACGTTAAATTTTATTACCATTTCAGACATCAAGTGTTCCATGGCGGTGGAATTTCAGGTGTTGGATCACATCAGTACATTCACAACACTCCGGCTGATTACAGGTAAAATTTTAGAGGTAGTTATATCATCGGCTAAATTTATGTTTTCAGGCAGCCTGAGATCCTGAACATGACATCTTATTAACCCTTAACACCCTTAACATCAGTAAGCATATTCTCCATACTGTTCTTTATACATTTCCTAAGGTGCTGGTAAGGAGAATTTGTTTACTGATCAAAAGCTTCTTTCGTTGGTGATTATCTCTTTATTCTCATGACCTTAATGTGTGATTCAGGGCTGATATTGTAGGGAGAAATTAGTTGCTAATCACTGTTAGGATTTAAAGGGTTTAAGGGGGTAGGTTTCTTGAGAAATTGTGGCGCTGCGTCGGTGGGAGAGTATAACAAGGTAATTTGGTATCTCAACTGAGTTGATAACGTAAATTGGCCACCGTTATGAGTTTCAAAGCCGACGTTTCGAGCGTTAGTACTTCGTCAGAACGAATGGTATCTGACATCTTGACATGACTTCTTGACTTGACTTCATGACATCTTAGTGTTGAGTTACGGTAGGGAACATGTCTTATTAGATTGTGAGAAGGTACAGCTGCATCGGTAAAACTTTTGAGACTTTTATCTGCGTTGTGGCTAGCCGGTATGCTTTGATTTCACTGATTCTGAAAAAAAGAAATTGATAGGAGAAAAGAAACGTTTCTTTATTTCCCCCGCATCAGGCAATTTATTTATTTTAGTCCAACTTTTATTTGCTCCTGGCTATATTTAACTTTGTTACAATTTTCTTGCATGAATACTCTGGTTTTGCTTTCAAATACGCTCTGTTGCTGATGCAGCTTTTATTTCTATTTTATTCCTTTAAAGGGTTGAACAGTCTGAATTCATGGAGTTTTCAGAGGTGAGTGTTTTTGTGCTTAAGCCAGACTAGCGAATGTGTTAATTCTTAACACCCTAATATTAATGTTCTTTTTATCCACACTGTTTTCTTTACTTTTCATATGGTACTGACAAGGAGAATATGTTTGACAATCACAGCATTTAACTTCTTTGGTTCTGTGATGATTTTCCGTATTCTCATAACCTTTATGGTTGATTCAGCTATGATGCTGTAAGGAGAACTTAGATTCCAGTCACTTTTAGGGGATAAAGAGTTAAGGAGACGAATGTCAAAAAAAACAAAACAAAAAAAAAACCGAACGAATAGTTGACCGTATGAATGATGGCGGGTCATACATGTAGCAGTCTGATGTTAAGAAGTCACTGAAAGTGGAGAGGAATAGCCGTTTAAGAAATGAGTGGGAATCTATGACATAATGCCTTTCTTTTTGCGCCTCGGGCGTTTTAACAATTTAAGCCTGTGTTCAACCTTTTCCAGGTCGAAAATCATGATGACTTCATTACAACTGAAGAAGGTCGGGTGCATATTCAGGACCAAAGAGGCTACTACATCTTGTATGATACGGCGCTTGCAGCCTTCAAGTAAGTGCATTTTCCTTTAACACCAGCGAATGATGACGCACGGCTTGTTCCAAATTTTTTTTCCTCTTAAAAAAGAGTGTAAATAACGCGACAAACGACAAGCAAAGTTTACACAAGCTTATATGTTTTTTGTTTGTTTTTTTGTGGACGTTTAATGGTTTGATACTTTACTACAGGGAACTGGAGACTGAACTTTTGCTTGTGGCCACCCATTTCCTTCAGAAAGACAAAGATTTGAGGCTTCCCAAAAATTCAAAGGTTAGTGATATTGATCATTCCACCATTTAGCCTTCGTCTAAATGTCCCCGTTGCATTTCAACGCTTTGATCATTATTTTTGGCGTGGTGGAAAAAAAGCGGTCACTCTTTGCGTGTCTATACTCTCTTGTTCAACACAGAATGATACATTGATTATGTTTCTAGATTACTATTACTGTAATAATAATAATAATAATAATAATGTTATTTATCTAGGGAGCTCACATCATCAAAGGTGTTATTCAGTGAGGCCCTGCCAAAAAAAAAGAAAAATGTTAAATTTGAAAGGTTAAAAATGGTTAAAAATACAATATTAAAATGTTCAATAAAATTACATTATAAAATGAGTTAATAAATTGCGGTCTTCAAGGCTTGCTTAAAAATTAAAAGTGACCTCATGTCACGTATTGACTTGTCAAGACTGTTCCATTCTCCCAGTCCTTGATATAAAAGGCGCTGTTTTCCATCAATGCGCCTAACTCACGGTAGGTAAAAATTGGATTTGCCACGAGTATTATAAGACCGTAATACCCTATAACCGGGTAGACTTGACAGTATATTTTGTGCTTATATCCTTGATATAAAAGGCGCTGTTTTCCATCAATGCGCCTAACTCGCGGTAGGTAAAAATTGGATTTGCCACGAGTATTATAAGACCGTAATACCCTATAACCGGGTAGACTTGACAGTATATTTTGTGCTTATATCAGTTTCAGGGAGATCATATTGATCTGGCAGCGTATGGTCATCAGCAAGTGGACAGATTTGCTGTTCTTTTGGATTTATGGACAAATGAAGCTGCATATTTGGAAAACAAGAGACAGGTAACTGTCCTGACTAGATACTTTCCATATATCTGTAGTATTTCCTGGCGGTGCAAAGGGCGGGTTTTACGTCATTCAGTAGGGGGAGATGTCGGCCTCATGGATATTGCGCTGGACCCAAAGTGGTGGATTGGCTTGAATTCAATTCCTTGCCTTTGTCTTTGAGCTTTTTTTAGTGAGCGAGAACCTATAATACCACAGTTCCCCATAAATTGAAATTAAAGTTTGAGGACATCTTTTTATGTTCTTTTAATTTTTTATTTATTTATTCGTTTTTTTTTCCAGCTGTTAGACTGTTATCTGGAGGCTTATCATCATGTCTTTGACCCAAAAGAGAAAAAACGGCTCGCTCAGGTTTGTCGAAGTCGAAATGATTGACAATTTTTTATCAAAGATCCCTCAAAGTTTTGAGTATTTATTTCCACCTAGGTTTGAATGTCTTTTGTTTGTTTGTGTCCATTTTTCTTTTTTTATAATTGTTTAATAGTTTTTTTTAATTTCCTTGGAAGTTTTCTTCCCAATTTGATAAAATAGACATATTGATGTCCATAGCTGGTACCTACAGGGGCGCTGATAAGGGTTACGGCGGGAAATTTGTAGGTGATAAATTTTTCAAGTTGGACGAACTGTGGCATAGCCCATTTGATTCTCATTATTTTTCCATCTCAGATTATGGTTAATGTGATGCACTCGAGACCAAGATACGATTTTTCTGCTGACTACTTCGTGAAGACATATCGAGCTGAATGTGTCTGTCTGCGACTTCATTGCAACTTAATCAAGTCAATTCTTGACAAACAGGTGTAGTATGGAAACATGTATTTTGGTACACATTTATTCGGGGGGCACCTCCAGTTAAAAGGCATTAACTTGTTCCAACAGTTAGAGCTTTTGTTAGAGTGATTGGCTTATAATTTATCCTCACTTCATCACCCTTGATACTGTGAAAGTCATGAGAATGAGGTAAATGATCACCTATTTTAGAAGCTCCTGATTGTCTAACAAATTCTCCTTGTCTGTACCAAAAAATGTAAAGATGACAATATAGATACCTATGTTAGGGTGTAAAGGCTGTAACTACCAAACAAAATCTTAAAAATTTTACATGTATAACATTCACGTTAACTTTGATTTGCAAACGAACTCACAGAGAGATCATTCAATTTTTTTCTTCAATTTCAGATTGACGATGAGCGAGAGTACATTCAGAAAGTTTCAAGGGAAGATAATTCTAGTAAGTTGAAAATAATTATTTGATATTAGAACTTGATTATTTTAACAAGCTTTTCGCAGATCATGCTATTATTTGACAGGGGAATGCATTTATTTCTTCTGCACCTAATTATACTTGGTGTAATGAAACAGGGACACGTTTTATGAAAATTTTATGATACTTAAAAAGAAGCATTTTACAAGCCGCCAAAGAGGAAATATAAATTTTTGACTTAATAGAATGATTTTGATGAAACCATAATCTTTTTTTTTAATGTAACTCTTACAGCATTGTTTGGTCTTCCCCATCGGATCATTCCTCAACAGCATATTGCAGTGAACACCAGTCGGTAAGGAAACTGATACAGATATTTAAAGCCATTTTAACATTTTGCTTTGGTATGATAAAAAATAAATAGATTCCAAGTTGCCGTGGGTCACCAGAAGTGGTAAGAAGATCAGTGACGCACTCTGCTGTGCCTCGTATGCCACTTTTTTGTTCTTACCATAGTTTAGGTAATCTGGGATCTATTACTGAACAGAACAGGCCAATTTGTTGCGATTTTCCTCGATCACAGGTGCTCTCTCCCTAACCATATCGCTTTTGCAATACAGAAGCCTTTGAAGAGGGACTGTCGCTAACCTTAAAAAAACACAAACGTACGAAAAAGCCAAACTTTAGCGCCAATGGTGATTTTTTTTACAGCCATATAATAAATATATTTTCGTATTAAGCTTAAACCTTGTGGTCTTAAATTTATTCTATTTCCTGATGACGCAAGCATGTATTAAAACTTTACTATGAATTGATTTTTGTCACAGACCCGCCCTTAGATACGTCTACATGTTGGAATTCCATCCATCCCTTGGTCTAGCCAGCAGAGTATACGAGGCATTGCAGAGCGCTTTGAAGGTATGCATTTTTTCCTTATTTTTGTAACTTGCATGAAGTATCTCTTGGTGGATTTTTTGAGTGCTAGGCTGTGCCTTAAAAACACAAAAAATTAAACTCACCTGCTCATGCATCTGTGAATTGCACTCGGAAGCAAGTCATCAAAAACCTTTAAATCGTAAATATCATGGAAGATCCTCTTACAACACGACTTTGTAAAACTGTTGGCTGTTAGTTTGGTTAAAAAAGGGTAAAGAAACTAAGTCGCCAAGGTAATTTTTGCTCAGCAAGCATCTTCAGCACTTTCAATTTTATCGATATTATCAAGTAAGCATCCTTACACCCTGACATTTCCTTTACTTATTTATCTATTTAGTTACTTATCTACCGACTTATCTATTTATTTCTTCATGCATTTTCATTTTATGTTATTTTAATCTAATATGAATTTTTTAATGTGGTCTTTTATCTCTTAAGTGATCATGGTATTTTCCCAGTTTCTCAACGTGATTTCTTATTAGATGTTTATCCAGATACACAAACCAAAAAGTACAGGAGAGATGATATCACTTGAACGTCGCTTATATGAAGTAGCACAAAAGGAATGGGACAGCCAGGAACCAACTGGCCACTCATTTGCACTGCAGACACAGAAAGACGTGAGTACCACAGCCTTAAAACAAGGGGATGGGCCACTGTGAACGCTTCAATAATAAAATTTTTATATAAAAGGTTGATCATTGAAGCTCCTATCGCAATTTCTGTCATAATTTCTTTTAGTCTGGTACTTTCACTATGACAAATTGAACCGATTGTCAGTAAACATTCAAAATTAATATCTAACACCTCAATGTTGTTCTTTCATCTCAGCTCTTTTCTGAAGTATTCGTGGAAGATCCTATCTTTGTTTGTGAAGTTGCACAGTCCCTGGTAAACCAAGCTTTCAATTCCAAAAAGGGTGGACGAAAGTCTGTTAAGGAAAAACAAAAGATACTCACGGAAACCTGGTCAAAACTGTTGGAGGTAAGCAGTGCGATGTCTTAAACGGGTACATACCCAAAAAATAGAAAATAACTTTTGTTTTTACCTTTTTTGCGGTGTGAGGAACTTTACAAATGGTAGAGTAAGCGGCTCATATTTTCCTTTGAATGTTTCAGGTTATAACTTTAAGACACAGGCTCATAACTGCTGCCCAGGAAACAGATGTAGTCACGAAGGTAAGTGTGTTTCCTGGACGATTACTCAGGTAGTCTTTCTCTGTTTAACACCCTATCGCGACAGCAATCCTCTGATTTACCTACATTAGTATGGATCATGGCCATAGGCCACGCAATCGCCTTGCCCAAATCCCAGGAGAGGCAAGTATATGCAAATCCTCTCAAGCCAGAACTTATCCCAGTTTCAGTATTATGAAGCGACTTGGAATATTGCTTTTATCTCGTGAACGGGATATTTTTCCACGGAAGGGTCAGCCCACGCACTTTGTTAAGTTTCACACGCAATTCTCCCCTACCCATTAATGTTTTAGAGTGGAGAGAAGTTTGTGAGTCAGAGTAAAGTGTCATCCTAATAGCAAAGCACAGTGACCCGATCAGGGCCCAAACCCAATATTTCCCATCAAAAGTCTTTGCTCATAGGCTATGGCGTTTTCTGCATGAGGAGGATGAAGGTAAACACAGTTTCCCTTTAACACATTTTATTTACTGAGGAACAAAAATCATAGAATTGTGTTTGTCACAAGTGTAAAAATGGCGAGATTTATGATCACCTTAAAAGAGTTAACAACATTTGTCTTTCTACAGGCATACAAGCGACAAGCCAAAGAGATTGGATTTGATGAATACCATGCGTTTCTTCGTGCCGTGTCGTTTGACTTTGCACAGGCAAAACCAGATGCTGAGATACAAAATGTTCTCATTACCGTTGTACAAGAAGACGATAGTAGGGTAGACAGGTGTTGACACAGCCCTCTTCTTTGTAATTTTTCTTTTAAGTCCATTCAGCTTTATTCGAAGCTTTTATTTACTACGTTTCCTAAAACCATACTAAAGTAACCACAACGGCTAATCGGAAGAAAGGAAAACATCAGAAGGACTCAATCATAACTTAGGGTTTATTTGATGTTATACCGTATGGCGTCTTTCCGAGTCCAAAATATGAGTGAGACGCGAAGAAACTCAACAGAGATTTATTTCCTGACAATGTATGTACACTCGGCCGTGAAGCCAAACGATCCCCCCCCCTACGACACACGTGTCACATGGATAAGAGACTAACAAGGATGACAGCGTGACTTCCTACGTCATACATCACTTAATATAAACTCCCTTTAAAAAATGCCGAAGAACACTAGTTACCAGGTCGCGTTGGAATCAGTGTTAGGAGGATGGCACGAGTCTCTTAACTCGAAGAGCCCAGTGAAGCTTAACCAATGAAATCTCGGCTTGCGTTCGCAAATCGATTGAAGAAAGAATTGGAGCCTATACAGTAAAAAAGAATAATCTCAGAATCAACCGATGATTTTTGTTTTTTGCTTGTGGTTCCTACCATGAAGGATCGTTTCCCGGTGCCCACAAGTGAATACATGTATACTGGGTTATTCTGGTTTTCATTTTTCTTCCCCATGTCTCACTCTATCTGGGTTTCGCTCTTTTTTTTCAGATACACACCAGCATATACTCCTCTGGCCATTCAAGAACTGGATGAAAAGCATTTGGGCACGTTCAGCTTTCGCACAAGAGAAGGAGTGTTGCAGGTATGTTGATAACACATCGAACAACCCAGTGTATAATTGTAGAAAGAGTGCACCGAACAAAGGTCTTTAGGGTTTGGACGAGATCTAGGTGCATTCTTTACAAGACTGTCTACAGGCGTCAAATGCTGTCTGAAGTGATACTCGTTATTAGCAGATCGAACTACGGGTTCGCTTTTGTCCGATTTTGTTAATCGCTTATATGATTACAAACCGAATTGGACTCTTCTCGGTCCTATTACCATTATCAATCGTACATGTGATCAGAATCCCTCCATTGCAGATTATGTCAGGAACAGGCGTGGAAAAGTTGCAAACGATCCTAATGGCTCAGGTCAGTACAATTGAGTTTTTCCAGTAGAAACCTGAATCAAATATCGATCGATTATACGAAACAATTTATTTTCGCAAATTTTCTCTTTTTCGATACAAGCTTTGGATGGATACCTCTACCTCCATGCATACTCGTAAATTTATCAATAATGCTCAATTCGTTTTACTTTTTTTTTAATATGTAATTTTTGGTTGCATGATTTGATCTACTTTGGACACCTTGAATATCTGACTTTTTGCTTTTCCTAAAGGTTGTTCACAAGAATCTTATCATTGCATCCATTCTTCAACTCGACGGCTGTTCAAAAATCATCAAAGCTGCAAAAGCAAAGGAAGCAGAAACCGAGAAAAGGTATCTGTCCAGAAATTTAGTCATGAATTAAGCTGCAAGATGAAAAAATGACACTGAAGCGCTTTAGACGTTTCAAACCCTAAGGGAAATTTAATAGTCAGAGAGAGTAGCTACTATGAAGTAAAGAGAGCTTGAACAAATGCGGCATGTTGTCCTTCTAAAAGGTAACCTGATTCCCTTGACATTTGATTCGCTTTCAGCGCTGGATTATCCCCAGGCTCCTCGCATGACACTTCCTTTGCTAGTCGGCCTAGTTCAGGCGAGGGAACGTCTGCTCATCTTGCACCATTCTCCACCAAGAGACTGGACCGAGAGTTTGAACGCAAGCTTCAGGAGGTGTTTGTATCGGTGCAGTTGGAGAAGGTGTGTTGCAAAATAGGAAAACATCTTTTATAAAAATTCTTGTTTTCTCTTTTTCAGCACAATGTTTGATTCTTCCAAAATATTGCTTTTTCCCGCTGGACTTTCGTTTATCAATTAGAAATCACGCTACATTTTTGTAATCTGTCAAATATAAAATTTCCAAAGAATAAAACAGCGTTTTGTTTTTCCAGACGTTTTTGAGAGATAAAATGTTAAATGACTATATACACAAAAAGGAACAATTGGGAACAGTCATGAAGAACATTGATGAGGTTATCAAGCTGAAAAGGTGAGTTTCCTAACTCAGTTGTGGAAGCAAATTTGTAAAAGAGATCAATAAACCAGTTGGAGGTGGAATTTGTTCCGAACTGAGCGCATTAATCACAGACGAAGGGCTAACGCTCAAAACGCCAGCTTAAGAAAACTCTTCACGGTGGCCAATTTACATTATCAACTCAGTTGTTAAAACCAAATTATCTTAAAATATCCCCCACCGACGCAGCACCACAGTTTCTTTAGAAAATTACCCGCTTTATTCATTCATTCATTCATTCCTAGATTATTTGTTTACTTTATTCCTACGTTTCTTTGCTTCAGAAAATTAGTCACGGATTTCTGCGAAAACCTTCACAAGAGAGTTTCCCAGTATTCCTTGCAGTCGCAGGTAGTTATTTCCTCCTGCAAATTTCCATATGCCACACCACATTGAAATACCTACGTCACTGGTTGTGCCACACAATGTGGACGTGGTCATAGCTTTTGGACGACCACTTTGACGATGGCCACCCATAATCCATGTTAATATTCCTTACAACTTCATTCTCTTTCGTTTATCATCCCCATTTGGGTGTTTACCCTATCATATCAATGTATCACAATTTTGTGTTGTTTCCACCACGTTGAAGAAAATTGAGCTGTCAGAAAGAACATTTTCAAATTTCCAGAAGTGTCTTCTTCAAGTTAAAGTTGATAAAACAGGGTTAATATTCAAGATTGATTGTAGACTTCTGAGCGACTTATGTTATATTTTGATTCTGTTTAAAACCCGCATAGTTGTGGGAGACTCGTCATCCTCACGAATATACTAAGCAAAAAAAGTTTACTCCGTTAAACTTAGGAGTAAGGCCATTTTATTTCAGTATTTTCAATTTTTTTCTTAAATACGCTTTCCTGTATCTTGTAGATAATCGCTTATTCTGCAAGTCTGTTAAATCTTATGGCTGACTTTCCAACCACAAGGTACGTGTGAGAATTCATTGTTCAGTCCATCACACCTTATGTAACAGTTTAAAATTTCAGACAAGGAAAGAACCTTAAAAAAAGCTTAGCATGCTTAGTCACATTAAACAAAGAGTGGCTGTGAACAAAGCTTGATCAAGTAGAACCAATCTTGTGGTTAGCAGGAGGGAGTGCTTGAAACCCAGACTGCCCGATTCTAAGACCAGCGTAATAACAATTCTGCCACGCTGGCTCCTTTATATTTTGTTGGAAGAGGTTTAGTGATACGAGGTATTTATGGGATTAGAGCTAACCTACATTGGTCAGCGGACACGCGAGTCATAATGACTGTGTCGAATTTTCTTTCATTTTTCCTCCGCAAAGCCCCGACATCGTGTACTTGACCCAGTGTTGTTTTCTCCCGCCCCAAACTTATCAAACCTTGGCCGGGAAATAACTGTCATTGGATCCTCTTCTTTGTTTGTTTCTTAGAGATGCTCATTTTGTTATTGGCGAGGAAGATGAGAAGAAGACTGAAGAAGATGATAACTTAGTTTCTGATCCCAAGTACGTTACATTCACTTGCTGACAATTTTTTTCTTTTGCTGTGTTCCACCTATCTTGTTTTTCTCTCTGTTTTTGTTCGTGTTTTTGTTTTTAACTTTATCTTATTGGAAGGTCTTAATATTGTATTCTTGAGGGCTTTCTTTGAATAAGCAAATTATATTAGGGAGAGCGATTTTGCTTTCGAGGGAGTCATAAATCTCAGGTTCTTGGAAAACGAGAAAATGTCTCAATAATTGCATGTCAAAGAGGTAGAGCGATGGAATGTCGAAAGCCAGTATTTCAGCTCACAGTTTTCCTAAAGCTTCGCTCTCGGAAAACTGTTCGCTTCTTGGAACAGATAATGTCCGCGGACAAATATCCGTGCATATTTTCGCACAAAATAGTGGCTATTGTGTTTATCATCGTGCAACACACATGAAAAAATTTTCACAAACAGCACGCTGTATTTATTTTTTTAAAGATTAAATCTCTACGTACACACCTTAAGCCTTACTTTTTTCTCAGGCAATTCAGACCCAGGTCTCGAAGGCTGCTGTCGTCCGATGGCAAAAGTTTACTTAACCTCTGGTTTATTCCTCATTACACCGAGGTAAAGAGAGAACATTCAATGGGTGATCAGCAAAAGGCCTGAAATAAGTTACTTATTGATGCAGCTTTTTACACATGATAACCTTACACCTTATGGAATATGAACAACCTTGCTAGTTTTTTACTGAACTCAACGATTGTCTCAATTGAGTGTCGAAATCAATCAGAGATCGCATCGGTTTTGCTGCACTTCTCTCTTTAATTGGTTCAAAAAGCGACTTGGTCACCTGCGTTTTCCCGCGCTTTGGGAAGTTGGCCTGGTCATACTTTGAGTTCTCATTGGCTGTTAAAGATATTTTCCTTTCTTCTGATTGGCTGTTGCGATGACTTAAGCTTTTGTTTGACGAAATTCAATCGATGAGCGCTCTCAAATCATGTTCTTACTTTTTTTTAATTTTCAGATAACAAGGATGTTTTCTAAAATGAAAGGAGATCAAAGAAACGCAGCTCTCAAAGTGATGCTGGTGAGTTGTTCCTGTCATCAAAATGATCCTGTGTTTATTTTTTCACCAATTAACCAACTTCACTTTTTCCCTCAGAGTCTTTTAGTTCTATATTTAGAACACTTGTGAACAAAGATGCATTCATGATCTAAATGCGGTTTCCATTTTATTCTTGTTATAGCAACTTATTTCATCGCTTCACGACATCTGTCAGTACCTCTGTGCGCATGCCCGCCTTGGCAGCTCGCATGCCCGACTTGGATCACAGAAGCTGGAATTTTCTGGGGTGACCGCTGACTGGGGAGGCACTGAGGGCATCGGTGAGTATAAAGCTAAGAGAAAACCTTTTAAAGAGCCTTCATCTCAGTGGGATGTGGTTTACCTCTATCTCTGTCCCGATTGGCTTTTTTGTTCGGAGTATGAATCTGTGGTATTGGTTTGGTGAAAATCGATGAAAAAGCGCTCTATCTGTGCTATCTGCATTACCAGCTCTCTACATTGCTGCACAACCAAATTGTCGCAAATCTCTTTGTAACGAAGTCTTTAAGGTAATGGTAGTTTTAGTTTTTTTTTTCGTAAGCGCACGCGGACGAAAATCCAGGTCCCTCTTACGTTTAGACTGTGCAAGGTTTAGAGATTGAATACTTTTGACACTACTCGCTGAAAATATGCTTCATCATATTTATCTCTTCACTTATTAATCCAGGTGCTGAGTTACGTGAGATTCAGAAACAAATCAACCATCTGGAAAACCCGCACGATCCTCAAGAGGTACACGAATTAGTTTAGACAATTCTTCTTACTGTCTCCCATACATTTCGCACATTTTTAGTTCTGAGAATTTAGTGTCAATCTTAAAGCATTGCGTCTCTTCACTTACCTGCTTTTCGCTTTATCGATATTGGAGGTAGAAAGAATTTATTGATCGTGGTTTTTGGGGGTGAAGGCTTACCTTGAGAGAACTGGTCAGCCAATTCAGAGTTTATTCTTACAAAATTTCATCACCTGTTTCTTAAAGCCCCAATGTTGTTCTTCGTTTTGTTGAAGGTTGCAGACTTCCTTGCCAAACGCCGTGATAATATGTTTTTGGAGTTCGACATTTCCATCAGTCACTCAGTGCGGGACACTTTCCTTTCTACTGGAAACGAAGCTGCCTATAAAGTAAGTGGTTAGCGTGCTTGGAAAAGAAGCATAGATAGCGTTTTACAACCAAAGCAATCTCATAGGGTAATTAAAACCCTTACATATGTTACTATCACGAAGAGCCATGTCAAACTCGAAGTAAATATACAAAGCTAGCATCAAGGGCTGTACACCGTGGAAAACACACAAATTCGTGATTGTTTCACGTCTTGTATATAATTGGTAAAAATGGCGATGCGCATTTCTTTAAACCAATCACACAGCATACATGCGAAAAAGCAATTCTAAAATATTTCCGGATTTCTTTTTCATGCAATTGAAAATGCTCAGCCACCTTCTGGTGGTCCGATGATTCCAAAGCTGGCTTACAAGTTGCCCTGACTTGTCCTCAGTCTCTAGTTTTTGTCTCTTTATCTCTTACAAGGCCGTTTACGTGAAATCCATTTGGGTTTTTATTGCCAATTAGTGATACTTTCCTTCGATGCGATAGACCATTGTTACCACTTTGGATTTGACTTTTTTTGTCCATTTGTTTGTTTGTTTTTTTTTTTAGCATTCAGTCGAAACGTGCTTTTCACGTGACTGTAAGCAGTTCACATTTGACTTTTCATCATCAGACCGCGCTAACACCATGATTGTCTCTATTTTGCCTCTCAGAGCATTACAGATAACATGGAGTTCGCTCTTCAAAACCTCAGCAATCTCCCCAGGTATGATAGTAGATTGATTTGTGTAGTAGATTGATTTTCCTCTTAACAGCTTATAAATAGAGGTTTCAAAGAGGAGAAGAATAAGGCTCAATGAAATTTCCATGTCAATATACCGGTTTTACCAATGAGATGTGGCGGACCTAAGAGAGGTTTGCAGAGGAATTGTGTTCAATTTGCTTCTCGACTTTACTTGCTTTTCCTAACTCCCCTTCCCCAAACTTTTGGTTAAGTATCCACCGGTTTGTCGTGGTAATTGCCACGGTGACCGTGATCTCCTTACTGGCTTATTGGTGAAGATGTTGGTTTCCCGCTCTCCCCTCTCCCCCCCTCGTCGCTATCTTTATGGCTTCTAATACTGGCGAAAAATAATTTTTAAGAAGAAAACCAAAAACATTCCATTTGCTGAATATCGCCTTTATATGCACTGTTCTTTAATTTGCTGTTCTTTTCTCGTAGACCATGCATCTATAATGCGCAGATCTCGCTACCTGAACCGTTAGAAGCAAAAGAGACTCTGGCACGAAGTTTGTATCCTTGGAGAGCCTTCCTAGAAAGGTTAGTGATGCATTGCACTTGGGTTTATTGTTTTCAAAAATCCCTTTGTCGAGATTCTGTCGGAAAATGATTAAATACAATGGATATTTGCTCCAAGAGGAGTCCTTTCTTCGCATTAATCTTTGCAGTTTCTCTTATGAAAGATGCAAGATTTATGTACCAAGCCTTGATGCAAAGAAACAAACCTGAGGACTGGGAGGGAAAATAGAACCTCTGTTAAGATGTTTGTTGCAGAATAGAGGAATTTCCTATTGAATGTAGAATATAATCCGAGGGTTTGTTGGTTTTTTTACTTCGCTCCGTGGTTGGATTAGAAAACTCGCGCCACTCTCTCTACCAATCAGATGCAACACTTAAACAAATCACGAATTTGTCGCCTGCGTTTTCCCGCGCTTTTGGCAGTTTGTTTGTTTTTTACTTTGAGTTCTCGTTGGCTCTTAAAAGTATTTTCCTTTCTTCTAGTAGCCATTGTGATTGCTTTGGATTTGGTTTTACGACACTCAATTGGAAGGCACTCTTAGCAAAGTGATTCAATGAAAACTCAAAGAAAACTCTACTGACTTTCGCGAAGGGCGAAAACGGGTGGTTAAAGCTAGAGTTAATTTTGGTTTGCTTGCCATTGCAGTCAAACTAGCAACTATAGATATGGAATACTCGATGTATATAAAAAAAAAATTTCTAAACCCAATTTTTCACGGGAGTTCGCAATTAGGATCGAACCCAGAAATTCTGAGTACCCGTAGAATGTTCTGACACTGAAATGCTGCGAACTCTTAGCGAGATTCCCTCTGACGAAGGAATCTTCAGCATAAGTAACACTTTACGGGGGCCGGTCTGCATTATGAACTAACTTAATTAAACAAAATTATCTTTTAATTCCCCCACCGACGAAGCACAACATTTCTCTGAAAATTTACCCATTTATTCTTGTTGAGATGGGTCCGCGATTCGGTCAAATAAATGTACTATATTATAGAATGATTAGAATGATGTTTAGCAATCCCTCCAGTATCAAGTTGTAAGAAATTTTATTTCAGGTACGGTCCTTTCCCGATGATGTACTGGCAATGGGACCTCATTGGGGAGAATATGCAGCTGTGTTTAGCTGGATTACGTGATGTGGACAGGTTAGTTGTTTGTAGGGAGTTTGCGATGTCACTACGGCCACGTGTGGTAAAACGTTGCTGAATAAACTTAATTTATTTTCCACTAAGACTTTCGCCAGACGCTCGATGCGTTCAACGTTTCTGACGGTACGACATCTTCACTTCGGCATAACATGTGGATGTAGGGTTGGGTTCCAAGTAAAAACGTGACGTAAAAATTGATGTCGAAGTTTCCTTGCTAAGAGGACGTATAAGGCCCCGTCCACACGTATCCGGATAAATTTGAAAACGGATAAATATTTATACGGTTACGGGTTCCGTCCACACATAAGCGGCGTTTTCACACACCAAAAACGGATAATTTTGAAAACGCTCTCCAGAGTGGATAAATTTGAAAAGGCTGGCCAAGCGTCTCCATGTGGACGCCTTATCCGGATAAATTTAAAAACGATTTGAAAATATGACGTAACAATTCAAACCTAGTCCAACGCGTGCTCTCGGCCGATCGACCATTAATAAAAACATGGCGAATAAACAAGCTCTAGTTTCGGTAAAGGAAACAGGGCTGTTTTTCTCTCAAGTTTGGAACCGATTTAGTGGCTTCAATGGCTCCTAATTTTGCACTATAAATGAAGTTTAGCATGTGAACAAATCAGTTCGATCTGGAAGAACATTCCTGTGAACCCGCGAAGTGGGGTGATTTTGGACAATTTATGCTACCTTTGGACAGTTATTAAGAAAATGTATGGCGGAGTGCGAGGATTTCTACGTCCAACAAAAATTGCTTCGGGAACCGCTTTAACACACGCAAATGCACATAGAGCACGCAGCGAAAGGTTGTACATATAATCCACTTTATTTTGCGATCTGGAAGTTGTAACACAGGAGCAATTATTAAAAGAAGGTTAGCTGAAAGTGCACTGTTTTCCTTGTAGTGATTTTGCGACTCGTTTGTAACCTAAGACCGAGTTCGACATCGATGCGCGTGCGTGGCGGCCATGCTGTCACGGATTTCTGGCCATGCGAACACTGTTGATAGGTTTGAGAGGCCCAAGAGCACAGCCAAGAGGATTCAGGCTCAGGATACGCGAGACTGGGGGCACATGTTTTGCTCTAAAGAGCATGCTCAATAGGTGGCGTCATCGTTTTCAAATCGTTTTTGCGTTTACATGTGGGCACCAAAAACGATTCAAAAACGGCAACGTTTGGACGCGGATAAATTTGAAAACGGATAAATATTTATCCGTTTTCAAATTTATCCGGATACGTGTGGACGGGGCCTAAGTTGGCGATTTTACGTTTTAGATTTGTATGGGATGGCTAAGAAACGTACAAATATTTAAAACGCACGTGTTTCGCTATTGTTCTGCTGATTAGATCTTTTTTTTTTTGCAACGATCTCATTGCCGTCGCCGTCGTGGTTTTCTTAAAGTCCCTAGTTATAAGTTGTAAATGCAGATTGTCTCTGGGAGGTCGCATGTCATTTCTTATGAAAGGTAGTGTTTTGAAAAAACAGTGATTTCTGAAAGTCATCCTTGTTAAGTGTATGGTCATGATTTGGAAAATGAATTCCTTTTGCTTTAGCATTTGGAAGCTGGAAGCCCTAAATCAACAAAATATTGAATTAGAATTACCCAAAATACCATATTCTCTGCTTAATTATTTTAATATTAACAAAATGGATCCGTAAATTTCACCCATTTGGCAAATATGATTCAAAAGGGATTCGAAGCTTTGTTCCCATGATATGAAGTACATAACAAACCATTATCTTCCTCTGTGCTTTCATGGAACGTTAGCTTTTCCAAATTCGCAAAGGCTATTCATTTATTTCTCTCAACATTAAGGCGACAATTAAAACCCGCCCATGTGGCAAACTGTTTCAGTAGAAAACAATCACTCTTTGACTGAAAGATTTATAGCATAATAACGATTTGGTTTCCTGTGACGCAGACATGTCGTCAATGGTGAAATCCTTGGCGTATCCCTGCTTCTGGAAGATGTTCTTCAAAATGGCCTTCCCGAATTATTTTCACAACAACCAGACGATTCGGCAGCCTCCGGCTCCACAGGGCAGCGTTCTAGACCGAGCACGAGCACTTCCCGAAGACCTCCGAGCCGTCATGGCGACAAGCAAGACAGTAATGAAGATGAAGGTGGCAAAACCTCTGTTCCTGTAGAGACTGGTCCCTATGGAGACATCCCCAAGGGAGTGGTATCATTCAGCACCAATCCCCAAGCAGCCGTGAAACTGATAAATTTGTTTCTGTTGGTGTGTTCCCGTTTGGAACTTCTAAAAACTGACTGGGGATGTCGGAAGCTTGGAGTCAACGAGATAGCGACTTCTAGGCTCTACAGAACCATGTGGTAAGCCATCTATATCTGTTTATTTCCTTTCACTAAAACGTGTTTCAGACCAACTGATGTTAATGTTGTAAATATTTATGTATGTTTGTATGTATGTGGGTGCACTGAATTGACCGCTCCCCTAATGAAGCTTTTAGGGCTGATTCGAATTGAGTAGTGAATACTGTTTAAAATCCCAACTTGCAAGAGGCAGGCAAGTTGACTACACACAAAATGCAGCAAAGGAGTTGAACTCGGGAGAACCAAGAACAAATCCAGTGCGTAGCGGTGTGGAGGGTATTGGACCCGGGACCACTAGATTACATGTTCAGTGTCCTAGCAACTCGGCCACACTTCCTCCTGTGTTCCAGTCGCTCAGTGAAAAAAGCGGCTTCTATATGTTGCGTAATAGTTAACTGCTATGCCTCCTGCCTCTAAAACCGCAGTAAACTTGAGAAGTTTTGTTACTGGTGTTACACGGCCCTATTGCGAACCTGAGCTAAATTGGCGTTTCTCGTCATTTTTCAGCAAAGTGTATAAGATCGAAATCCTGCAGCCAGTGTACCAACAAGTTGCTGTTAAAATGGGCCAGGTAGGATTAGAAATATTAGTCTTCAAATATTGACCCTAAACCTAACAAAGAAGGAAGACGTTATCGTCTGTTGCCACAAATTAGTGCATTGTTTATCTTTTTTTCTATTGAATTGTTATCTCAACCTTCCACCAACAGGGCCAAGAGTACGCCGCCCTCGGTGCGTTGGTGAACGACGATGAACCTTTGTCCTCTCCCCCTGGTGCAACAGAGATGGAGCTGAAAGTCAAACAGGTTTGTCCTGATTTTTGTTGGAACTGATCCAGACTGCCTCAGACCTACAAAGTGAAATATGTTGAAACTTTATAACAAAAATTCCTTGAAGGTTACTCTAAGAATAACGGTTAACCGTTTGTCGCTATTATTGTGTTTCATTGAGGATTTTTTCTTTTTGGCCCCTTTTGCAGCTCATTCGTTTACTGGAGAACTTAGAGTGCACCATGATTTATGACGTCATCAGGAGGATATCCCGTGAGCACACGTTGGTCGTGTCTGAGAGAGGTAGAGATGACGCAACACTGCCGACTGATCTGTGGAAGAGACCGGTAAGTTAATAATTCCCTGTATTCACCACTTGTCTTGGCTTAGAATATGTTCTACGCTTCTTTTAGTGGTTAGTTGTATGATTATGCTTAATTTTCTCATTAAGTTGGGTAAACGGTGATGCTGTAGAGACAGTTAAACTAAAGTGGCTTCTCGCCAAATTTATCTGTTATTTTATGTTACAGGTCATGAAAGAAAATTGCACCATCGCTAAGCCTCATCTGGTGGAGAATTTCATCCAGGATCTAATGTCAGAGCACACGGAAAAGGACGAAAATGTTTCCTTTACAAGGGTACGAAGGGTTTTTTGTGTGTATAGACACCTTTAATCCATTAGGAGAGGCGTTGACTCTTTGGTAGGGAAGTGCTGAACTTCATACACCTCCTTAAGAGGACTGGTCTACTGGGATGATCACCTTTTACAGCCCAACATCAATATAGATATTCTCCATACTCTTCTCTATACATTTTCTGAGGTAATGAAAGGAAAATTTGTTTAATGATCACGAGCTTCTTTAGTTGGTGATCAGTTCCTTTATTCTCGTGACCTTAATGTTTGATTCGATGGTGATAAGGTGAGGAGAAATTAGATGTTAGTCACTCCTAGGGGTAGAGGGGTTAAGGGTTAGTTTCCCTCCACTTTCTTTCCCACGATAACCTTATAGTTTCGTCTCTTCTTTGAGAAGAAGGGAAACTACTTCTGAGTAATGTTGATTCTGATGGTGATGTGAAGAATTTTATCCTCCTGTTCATTCTCTCGCGCTTCTCTTTTCAAACTCATTGTCGTCTCTTTGAACTCTACAACATCTTTTTATGAAGCGTTTCTCCATTTTTGCTGGGATTAAGCTGTATAATTCCAATACTTGCTTACAATTTTTTTGTTTATGTTTGCTTTTTTTTTTTTTAAGGACCATTTGGACAAATGCTTAGTAAAGCTAGCCTCTGAGACAATGCTACGGGAAAGGAACTGTTTCGAGAGGTAAAATCTTACGCTTTTAGACAGAGATGATTTAAGGAACTACAAACGAATGCCACGATAAGAGATTAACAGGAAATATGTTTTAAGCAGTTATGTGCTAATTGGGGACACTATAAATACAAAAACAATTAACGTAAATTGTAAAAAAAAATTATCAACGGGTGGAGGGCAAGCCAGGTGTTACCCGGCAGCAAAGTGGAGGATTTGACCACGCTTACTTCAGATTTCTAATCTAGTCCATCAGATAAACCACGTGCTCTGTCATATCCCTGACACTGAGCACTGAAAATAACGATTTGCCTGGAAGAGCCCTCCTATAAAGAGATAATCATTTTGTTTGTTCTTGTGTTCTTTAGACAGGAAGACATAGGATGTGATCAACTGTTTGATAGGTCTGATTAGTTGAGGTGAATCGACAGAAAACAACTAAATTTGGCAAGTTTGTTCATGTAGAATGCAGGTTAGAAAGGAGTCATTTTAGATTAGAGTTGGGTAGTTGTCAGGCGTACATCATGTATTTTAAAATTTTGGAAGAGAAGAGTAGAAAATTTGGCAGTTTGGTAACTGGAAGTTAAGAGCAATATTTCAGACTTAGATCTGCGAAATGAATATGAAATTTTTTAAATAGGTTAGGCAGTAACTTTGAAAACGTAAATTTCTTATCTTGAGATTATTCGCCAAAATCTAACAACACGTTTGGTCAAGAATTCCGCAATTTAGTCGCCGCAAGGTAACGTCGTGGTTGCCATAGATTTCCGAATTAATGCAGTTCTTTCAGCGACGCAGTCAATTCCTAGCAGAGAGTATCAAACCGCGAAACTTTACTCCGGTGACTCGGAAAAAAAAAAGTGCAATCTTCAATTGAGTGTCAAAAGTACTCAAGGATGGCATTGTTTTTGCTTGTCTTTGCTCAGTGATTTGGTCAAGAAATTCGCGCCAAAGTTTCAACTTCTCTTTCGCAGAACTAAAAACAATGTACGGTGACTTGGTGACTCTCAGTTTCCTAACCTTGACCTGAGTTCTCCTTGCGCTCCTATTTGCGGTTTGTGATATTGACATTGTGATTACTTTAGAATCGGTTTTGAGACACTCATTCGAAAAGCGCGCTCAACTTCGATTAATATTAAACAATCTTTGGTACGTTCATTTGGACTAACTTTCGCTTGTGCTTATTCCAGCTACGCCATGTACTATGAGAACCTCCTCCGTCATCAGCATCAGTTGTTGTACATGAAGGAGCAGGTAGGTTGAATATCAACATTTTAGGTCATCAGTTTTCTTTCACTTTACCAGTTGCTAATCTTGCTATGATTTAAAAAAGAAGACAATATTCACATTGAAAATAGCTCAACCTTCAGAGAATTTATTAGAACAGATACATCTGGCGTGAAGATATCTGAAAAAGAATCGTTAAAGTGTAGGATAGCAATCATGCTTTTACGTCACGACTTCATATATTCTGTATGGGTAGATATTTCGAAGGGTTTCTCAAGAATATCAAAGAATAGAGTGCGGTTTGGCACAATAGAAAACCCATTCTACGTTTATAAAGAGCACTCGTATACCCTAAGAGATATGGACTTCAATTTGTTAGGCAGCACATTTAGCGTCTGACCAACAAGTTCCAATTACAAGAGCATCAGAGCGCGCGATCTGGAATCTGAAGGTCTGCGGTTCGATTCCTCGTGGGTGCTCGGAATTTTTTCCCTCGCCCTGTACTCGTAACAAGACGAGTGAAATCTATCGCTAAGTCCTATGTTAACCACGAGATTCCAGCTCAAAATTATCGAAACTGTAGTGGATTGCTGCGATAACAAGAGATAAGGTCTCTTACCAATTAATATCTTTAGCAAAATGTCGTTGAACAGAATGAATTTCGTTTTACACTCTGCAGGAGATAAAGCAGCATCAAGATACAATTGAAGCTAACAGCTCTGCTACCATCGTGGATGTTCACTGTCAATTAGCGGACCGAAGCCATGAACAACTGCTTGGTACGTATTCCTCGGGAAACAATCGGTATCCTTGGAACTTTGCCGGACTTTTGAAACAATCCGATACATAGAGTCGAAACCACTAATGTAAAGACGAGTAAATACAGTTTAGATTTTATGTCGTAAATTAATACATTCTTCAGTCGACGGTGAGGATTATCTGGAAATATGAGGATACGGAACAATTCGGGCATGAAAAAAAGTGTGCCGGCCAACCTCGCGAAATAAAGTTGCAGCTGTTTTCAACCAATAGTTTATTTGCCTGTTTGCTTCCGTCTCGTTTGTTATTTTGGGAAAGTATTTTTCAATGTTTGGTCTTTTTATGTTTCTCTCGACAGAGATCACTGCTCTCCGAGCGAAGATTGCCGAGATGAGAGAGTCCCTCATGAATCAGGTAAGAAAAAATTTCGTTCCCCCCTAGGTAGTAAATATCATCTCACTTATTCGTATCCTCTCGTACATTTTAGGAAAAGGAACTCCGAGAGCGAATCAAGAGCGACTTTGCATTTCTAGTTCAGGAACTATTTTCCAACTGCTTTTCGATGAAAAACAGTTTCGAGGAATTCAGGTAAGATAGTCATAATGCTTTTGTTGAGATGTGACATTCGAAACTAAGCCTGATGAAAGGATTCGTTGTGTTCAACGACTCACCCTTGTGACTAGGTAACCTAGCCTTTAGCAGACGTCGTTCTTGTGTTGCAAATTCATTCGTGATTGGTGGCGAAGGGAAGGGCGACGGAGGAAGCTCTAGCTACAAATATAAAAATCGAGGAGGGGGGAAGGTGACACAGGTCCCCGCAGTTACGGTTAATTACTCTATTAAAATGTAACCTAAGAAAGTCAGAAATGTGATCATTGTAAAGAAATTGGTCTCGATTAACATAGATCTTGACGATTTTCATTTTCCAGTTTCCAAACACGGACTTCTGTGTTTGGCATGTTACATGATATAATTCTCGTTTCCATTCCTACCAGATTATTTCTACACGATGACGTTCATGAGGGACTGAGCGACGTGCGTCGTAAAGCCGTGGAAGACATGAAAAAACTTAGAGAGAAGTCTGGAACATTAAAAGGTCTTGTTCGGCTCTTAGACTCGTTTACTAACGCAAACACAATCGATTCTCTTTAGGTCAAGATTCGTTTTTCGCAAACCCGATATCAAGTCCAGGTTCCTTGGCGTGGATCTGAGTCTTTTAATAAATTTCCCGAGATATCTCAAACGTCATCGGGCCATTTTGATTTCGGCCATTCTCCTAGAGGGTTCGTTTTTCTTCTTAACATGAAAAAAATGAAGAGTATGCGTCTAGTTATCTACAGAGCGTACCACTGCCAAGGGGAAGCCTCGGATCGCACGGTTACCTAGCATCTTAGAAAATATACGTGAAGAATGTGCTATCTTTGTGGTACATTTGTATGGTAGAGGACGAGTCTCCTATTTTAACCATATAGTGAATTGCGCTTACTCCTGGGTGAGGTGGAAGCATGAGAGCAAATATGTCTAGATGGCTGATTTCACCCAGTATTGGCACGAAAAATCCCTCTAAGGGAGTATTAATTTATCAGTGGAGGTGATAAGTAACATTTTTTCCTTATAACTCTACAGAGGAAAGCGAAGCTGCTTCGAAACAAGTTTTAGCCAAGTCAGAACAAATCAGAAAATTCCAAGAAGAAAACAAATACCTTGGACAACTGGTGAGTACAAATGTACTTTTTTTTTCATTTTTTTCCCATTTATTTCTTAGTCATTACTAATTCTAGCAAGAATACAGAAACACAAAATGTAAATGACAATAACATAAAGTATGTAAAAGCGTCTTTATAACAGAATAGCAAGTAATTACCGTCGAATACCAAAAGTAAGAGAAAAGAATACAGTATATGTACTCTATGAGGTAGGTGGGGCGGTCCAGGTAGGATGGAGCTGTAAGGAGATTTAATTGTTGGACAGTAAAGGTTCTGTTTTGTTCTAGAAATTTCCATGAATATATTTTTTTCCTGTTCTTTATTTTAAATACACAACTTTTTGACCAATCCGAAGCAGTTTTGGTAGAAGAGTATTGAACTTGTTCCTGTCTCTTGTTTTTTTTCCAGTTCCTAAAGATAAAGACAATGAATAACTGGAAGCGAACACGTCTCTTTATCCGGTATCACGACTCGGTAAGAATTCCATTATCCTTTTTAGTTCATTAGCTAGCTCTAAGCCAAGTGTGCAGGATTTTTTTAAACTTCGCAGAAACTTGAATCTAGATGTGCTGATTGCAAGTCAGTGATCAAAAATTGGGGTGACTTTTCTTTTTTTTTTTAGTTAAAGCCGCGTGAAGCTAAAAAAAAAAAAGGTTGCTTCTTAGAAAATCTATTTTTCCAAGAGTGACGTATTTATGAAAAAAAAAGGAAAGAAAGAGAAATACTTGCAGCTTGTTGAGAAAGAATTTCTAAGGGAACAAGCAAATAAGCGTGAGTGGTTCGATCTACTGAGGAATTGATGATTGAAAAAACGCGAAACTACCTTTAGGGGGTACCGGAGAAGTCTCAAAGAAAAGTCTGCAAAATGTCGGGGGATGAAATCTAAGTAACACTATTCGCCACACCCATCAACTTGGTTGTGTTCGGCCAGGGATATTTTTACCAAAGACCGTTGTTGCTTTGCATAAAGACGTTTACTTTGGTTCTAGTTTTTCGATTCTTCGCTGAAAATCACTTTTTTAGATTGACGTTGATGATTTGTCTGTTTGTTTTAAAGGTCGAGAGTTTACGAGATGAGGCAGACAAAGCCAAACGAGAGTGCTTAGGAGTTAAGAAGATTGCAGAAGAGAAAGAAATACTATTTAAACAAGAACAGGCAGCTCTGAGAAAGGTACTTAATCTAGTCTAAACGAGTACCGTACACAAGGAAACTGTCAGCAGTTACTTTAAAAATATAGATTTTACCTTTATTCTAGTGAATAATGTTTAGATCCAAGGTGAGACTTTGAATAAATCAAACAGCAATCGTCGTTGAAGACGAATTTGAATTTGAAGGTGAACAGCCCCTTGGCAGACTATTTCCATCATTATTACTATGTACTGTTTTTATTGTCATTATCATCATCAGTATTGATTTTTTTTTTTTTTTTTTTGTACAGGCTCTTTCAGAGGTGGAGCGAGAGTGCCAGAAACTGCGTAAAAAGCTACAATACGAGGTAGGAATGGACAAGAATGGCTTGAATGAGTTTCTGGTTTTCGTACAAAAAAGATTTACAAAAAAATTGAAAGGACTGTGCTTTAGCGTATAAATGAAGTCTTTTAGTCTCAGAAACATTAGCCAGTAACTCGACTTCGTAATTTTAGCTAGTTAGCCAGCAAAAATGTGATCATTTTGATTAGGCTCATCAACGGCGAGGTGGTCTCATACTAATGCACATAATCCTCTTAACTTTCTTACTAAATATATAGCTGGTTGCGGCCTGAAAAAGGAATTAGGAATCATATTTTGGGAATTAAAATTATCACAATACTAAATCTCCTCAATTAGCTGTAACAACTTTAACTCTGAGTTGACTTGACTTGATTTAAACTTGGATGGTTTTAAAGTGTTTGTATGTTTCGTGTTTTCAGCAAAAGACCAAGCTGCAGAAGATGCATGCTCAGATGCAAGAAGCGCACAGTATGAGACAACTGGAGCTCGCCAAGTCGACAAACATCGATAAACTAGTGAGTGTATTGATCATCCGATTTTAAAAGAATTATTCCATTTTATAAACAAAAGCTTGTCTCAAGCTTCGCGCAATGATAAGCGTAACTTACGCAATTTTTATCATTACACTGAGTGAAGATATTTATAAGAGTTTTTCTTGTTTCATGTATATAATTTATATTTGGACTCATTACGATTCCCATGCGAGTATTTCAACAGGTTATTGGAATTCTCTTTCTGTTTCTAGATAGCAGATCTGGAAGAGAAGGAACTGCAGCTTCGTCTTCTTACTCGTAAGTTGGCTGTCATATCATTGTCGACGGATTCATTTTATTTCATCACATTTCGCTTCGATTAATTTCACTTCATTTCATTTCTTTTTCAATTAAAAAATACTTATCGAGTTTTCTTTATTATTGTTTTTGTTTATGTTTTTGTTTGTTCGTTTGTTTGTTTTTTTCTCATAGAAAACTTGGATAGAGATCAGCGAAGAAATCTTTTCGCGCAAGAACAATCCAAGAAGGTATTTTGATTCTGAATGCCCTCCTCCGTAGTGGTCTTGGAGTGATGGCCAGTGGCAGTGATATTAATCACAACACTGACATAACAATTTTGGCAATTACTTTGTCATCTTTTTCCCGAACGTAATACGAGCGAAAATGAGGATGCACTGAACGCAAAAGAGGAAGCTGCAATCTGTCGGCAGCTTGCTGGAGTAAATAGTGAGATAAAGATACAGTCACAATTTTACTCTATCTTCCCATTCTCTCGTCGTTATGTACCTCCTCCGAGTAACATGAGCTTGCTTCGACTGTGCTCAGTCTACACCAGCAAGAAAGTGCTATCATTATCGTTTTCATCATCGCCATTGTTATCGTCATCGTTATCATTATCATTTATTTTACCATTTATATTAATTTATTTATATCCTTAACTTGCTTTTGATCGGCTACAACTTCACGTTAATCTGATTGACTAGCCAACTTTGGAAGTAAAGTCGTGTCTAATTGATGAAAATCGTGCCCTAACCTCATTAAATACGGGCCCATTGTTGTTTTAATGTTCGCAAATTACTAGTGCGCTCTTTTTTCATTTCGTGGAATACATATATTTTTTTTTTCTCTCTCAGGCCCTAAAGCAAATGATGCAGCAATTGGACCATGAAAGAAACTTGAAACTTGACGCTTTTGAACGCGTTGAAGATCTACAGAGACAGGTTTGTTGTGTGTTTTTTTTTTGTTTTCTTTATTGTATGACTTGGCATTGTAAACTGGTTGTTGTTTTTGCAGATCTCCATAACTCTTTTCCCTTCCTTTCAGATTTATGAATACGAGCAACATCTGACCAGCGGCTTTTCGAGGCCAGGCTCTGGAGCAGGTAAGCTTTATGGCACAAAAATTTTCGAGTTAAAAAAGAAGTCAGTGCTGTCAATGTTGTTGCTATTTTGATGACTCTCTCCATAACGAATCACTAGCCCCCGTATTCTATATTTAATGAAGTAAATGTCTTGATCAGTTTTTAAGCACATAAGTTAGACTTCCAAAATCGTTTTCAAAACTCTCGATGTCATTGAAAGTTTGGGGCTCAGCGCGTTACATAAAACGGTGCCATTTTGCTTCATGTACCTGATCCACTTTTTAGTAAACGTACTTCAGTCTGTAAATTGGTTTAAACTCCTTGAACAAGATGTTATCAGTCTCCTTCCTTCTTGAAAGAGGCGAAGCGTCGCCAGAGAACAAAGATTCCCGCAGCAAGGAACGAATTATCTGCGCATTTGTTCTGGCAATAGCTCTGGCGATGTGAGTCACTCTTGTGCAAAACCAAAGACCAAAGGATAAGTCGGATAAAATTGAAAATTCTTGGTGCTGATATAGTAACTGCGCCAAAATCATCGAAAGAATTACTATCTTTGTCACTTTTACAGGTTCTAGATCTGCATCCCGCACAGACAAACGCCCCCTGTCCTCGTACCGGACGGTGCCGGACACCTACGCCGCGTCTCCGCTGTTTGTTCCATCTACCCGTCCATCTAAGCCTGTCAATGTGGTACAGCCGGTAGCTGGAGGAGGTTTTTGGCCACCCCCTGTGGTATTTCCACAGAGACAAGCCACTACACCGGACCCTGGTGAGTTAAATATGGTCTCAGCAATATTTGATTTTTTTTTCTCTTTTTTTTCATTTTTTCTTTTTTTTAACATTTAAGTGAGGATGAGAAAAGCAATTTTCTACCTCTAGTATATCCAGATGTGTCTTCTGATTTTATTAATTTTATCTAATTCACCATTTTTTTTTTTTGATGTTACAGTGAGTAGTTCATATTCACCGCCTCCCAAAATTCAAAGGCCAAAAACTGTAAGTACTTAGATGATGATGAGATGAACTATGATTCTAATTTCTCAGTGAAGGACACGTGTCACATAACTGCCTTGAGATTGAAGGACGCCGCGAAATATTTGTTTCAAAAGGACAGTAAAAGATAACATCAACCAAAACAACAACAACAACATAAAAAGTGGCAATAGAAGCAGTTTTCAATTGACTGTCAGAAACCCTGACCAATCTTATCACTGCAGCCAATCATATTAATGGATTACATCATTATTAGCCAATGAGCACTCATAACAAAAACAAACTACTAAGCGCGGGAAAACATGGGTGACCTCGATTGGTATGCGTTTTGCGTCTGATTGGTTGAGAGAATGGCGTGATTTTTCGGGACCAATCACAGAGAGGGGTAAAGCAAAAACAAAGGAATCCCGGATTACATTCGACACCCAATTTTATGTTTCAAATTCTCGGTTCAGAATGTACTAAATACTCGTCTTCCTTCTTGCAGCATACTGGTCGTTTGAGAGGGAAAATTTCTGACAGTCTCTTGGGTGACGTTGAATCAGATGATCTCCCAGATACAAGACTTCCTCCAACATTTTAAACTCTTAAACTACACTAGGAAAGGCAAACAGACTCACTCTGGGCAACGTTCAGGAAAATTGAAAGCGCAATATGAGTGAAACGAGTTGAAAGGAGCCTGGGGAGAAAAAACAAGGCAGCCCTAGCACATACTCGGTTTTTTCGTACAGCAGCTTGTTCACACGCTAGGGAAATGCTTTCTCCTCTATAATGATTTGGCTGCAATGTAGATTAAAGGAAGTCTGTTACCTCAGTCGAATTTACAAGTTTACACCCTGAGACGCGACTTAAATCCAAGGACTCGAGAATACGAGACTTGATTGTATTATAGACCCGAGTGATTAGTTAAATATTATCTTGAAAATGAATTAATATACGAATAACTAACACAAGGAAATTGTGTGGAAGAAACTTAAAAGCCATAGAATAGATGAATTATTTATGCCATGATTTTGGACACGTTCACACGCTGATGACAACATTTTATGAGGTTTTTACTTTTCAAAGAATCGATTGGCTTTGCAGCATGTCAATTTTATTTAGGATTTTTCTTGCAGAGAAGTTAGACGCAGCAAAATCTTGCTCCTACTTTGTTTAATTTCTTCAGGGGTACCACTATCGGTACTTTAATATATTCCAGTAAGATGGTTTTGAAGAACTATTTATGATCGAAACTGTAGGTGAGCTACTCTTACGAAAGTGTACTGTCTACAAAAATCCTGGTTCCGGGCGGTAATAAAAAAAATACCCCGTTGGGGTGGGGGCCAGTCACGGCTCGTTACAGATTCAATGAACCTGATTGGCTGGTTTGTTGGAATCGCTTGAAGTATTACAAGGTGTTGACACTGCGTGAAAGTTATTTATTTTGTAAGTAACTCTTTAGTTTCTGTCTTTTGCAGAATTTTCTAGTGGGATCATACGACTCGTAGTCTCTTCGTGCAATTCAACGAAGGTTCCCCGAGTAACGATACTTTTCCTTCGGGAAATTTCGAAGAACCCCGCACCGAAAAAAAACACTTGTTTTTAAGCTAATGATGTTGTAAATAACTTAAGTCCCACACGAGCTTTGTGAACTCGGGAATTTTTATATGGAAACAAGATTTTGCACTTTTGCAGTCTCTTAAAAATAAAGTTTTCCACGATATGAATTAGATGTTTAATCTTGTTTATTCTAATAACTTTCCAGTCCAGGGTAATACCATGGAATTCATTGAATTGCACATTCTTACGGCGCTCGATTTTCATGCGACAGCAACGCGCACATAAACAAAATGGTTGCCTTTATCATGACGAAAGCCCGCCAACGTGGTGTCTGTCAGACAAAGTCGTACAAATACTGCACAATATCAAACTCCAGTTGTCTCGCTATCTCTGAGATGGTGTTGAAGCTCACAAGGCATTTGTATTTAGGACAATCTATCTGATCATCTGCTGTGATTTGTGCCAAGAGATTCAGTGAAACAAGGGATGATATCTGGCAAAGGATGTTAGCAGTTGGAGCGACTTTATCCTCCACAATACTGTAAAATATGGCCATTAGTCTGTCAATTTGGAAATTCTTTGGACCTAACGGGACAAAAAAGATTAATGACGGTTATATACAATTCTCAATCAGTAGATAGGGGGGAGGGGAGGGGGGGTCGGATATAAGTAATTGATCATAAGTAGATAAGTCTTCGACTGAAATTTTATTAGATCGCGCGTCTTTTCCAACGCGGAATTAAAAAATACCCTTGATCGTCAGAATGTTGACAATTTCATTCCGGATTCCCAATTTTGTTTGTTCGGAAGTAAGCATTGAGGATCGTACTGTTAGTCTTCGGTCGCACTGAGTCACTATCGGTTGGTGTCTGGTTTGCGGAATGTAGAAAGACATTTGGAAAGCCGTCAACGACTTGAAGAATCTTACAGCGTAGCAATTCAAATTGTTAAGAAATGTTAACGCTACAACGGCACTTCCTCTACGTTCAAGACTAATACAACAGAAAGTTTTCGAGTAACACCCTAATCAAACGATAAACATTTTCATCCAACGTCTTGACAGATGAGCATTTGACCGTTTTACTCACCTGTCTCACACCTTCATTTGATTGGCTTTCCATTTTTTATCAAACATTTTCATCTAACATCTTGCTTCGCAAGCGAATGTTGGATCATTCAGAAAGGGGCGTTGTAGCGTTTTTCGCTTAATCGGGGCTTATCGCGGGGGTGTACGGACTAGACGCAAAAAAAACGCCTCCGTTGCAAACCTCTATCAACCACACTCTTCAGACTAGAAAAGTTCTAACCTGTCAGCTGCGTGTTGGATTTCTTTTTTTTAGCCGCAGCTTTTGCTCTGTTACTTAATCCTCTTCTTCCCTGTTTGGTAAAGAACCTCCTGTCTGTGTGAGCTGGGTTATACGACGCCAGATATGCTGAGAGCAACAGATACTTGGCATAGAAAGGCAGTTCCATGTGAGAACGAACTGATATACCTGCAAAGATCGCATATCTCGGATAAGACCTCTGCACTTGTTAGGAATTTAGCTGCATGATATAGAAATATTGCACATAAATCTACTGATATTTAAAAGTGCATTTAAACCCCAACTCTACAATCCACAATCAACTATCCCTCAACTGTTTTTTCTTTTGAATTCCATTTTTGACATCCTCCATGACATGCTAAACATCACTGTTCAATCCTTTAACTTATATTTATGTCAGAATTGCTTCTCTGGTTATTTTCATTCTGGAGTTCATTTCAAGTGTGAAGGTTCCAGATATGGCTGGGTCAATGAACTGTGTCCTTAGAAAAAGACAACAAATTTCTCATAAAGGTCTATGAGTACAAGGAAACTGTTAAGGACTCCAAATGAAATCACCAAATGGCTCTAACAACTCATATCTATGAGAGATTTTTCTTTTAAATAACCAGCCACTGTTCAGAAAGCAAGCCCACCCTCCTTACCCAAAGAACAAGACCAACTTGAACTTAAAATGTGTATGATGCACGTATATGTAATTTCACTCTTTCAGGATTATGTTCAATGGTGCATCAAGTTTAGTGCAAGAAAAAATATTCAAACAGTCCCTACTTCCATTTTCTACAAGCCAAGGTGGGTGTCTGTCAGACAAGGGTGGGGAAGATGGACAAGCACCCTTTTCAGGAGAAGATGCAATGATCCTGGTTGCTTGAACCCCTCTAAACCCTTAGAGTGATCAACATCTATTTTCTCCTTTCAGTAATACCACTGAATCATCGATTAAGATCATGAGAATAAAGGAAATGATCAACACTCTAAGAGGCTTTGATTGTTTGACAAATTCTCCTTGCCTGTACCAAAGGAAATGTATAGAGAACAGTGTGGAAAATATGGGTACTGATGTTAGGGTGTCAAAGTTAATTCTAAATCAATTTAAAACTGGGATAAGCCATACCAGCTTAATGCAGAGCTGTCTATACTTTTTCAATTTAAATTAATGATATATGATTGAAAAATACAAAATTAATAAAGACCATTTCCTACCCAAGGCTCCAAGGTTTTCATTGCCTGTCTGTGTTTCCTGTCCAAGGATATTCTCCCACTGAGTACTGGACACCTCCCTAAGGTAAACTGTGTGCAGAGCCCTCTTAAGATGAGGCTCAATGTTGCGCCACAGCTTACGACTGTCTGTCAACTGAGCTTCACCAGATGTGACTGGTTCACAATATTTTGGAAAATGAAGAAGAGCCTGCAGGCAGAGAAATAAATTCTTAACTGTTTAAGAAAAAAAGCAAATTAAAGTAATAAAACAAATAAATTAACAACCATTTCCTTTCAAATTAATTATTTAGCCACATGATGACGATTTCTAATGATGGTAAACCTAGTGTAGTCCAGCCTCCTTTTGCAACCACCTCTCATTAGCGAGAGGTAATATCTAAAGTTTCCAAGTCAAAGTACAACAAATGGAACCTCTTGCAGGTGATGGTCCCACCACTTCAACCCTTTAACTCATATGACTGACCAAGACAGAATTTCTCCTTAGAATATCATTACAATATCAACCAGATAAGTGATGAGAATAAAGAAAAATAAAAAGGTTCTAATAAAGCTGACAAGTAATCTGCAGCTATATAAAGATTCTTCTCTCTGCAAGGTTTTAAAAAACATTAAATCCACACTATGTGCAGAGCCACCTTATTCATCCAAAAAGTTATGGTGATTGTACACATATCTTTCAAAACTTAACAGAAAGAGGAATTTTGATATACAGATTGCTATTCAATGATACACAATACTTCTCTCCTAGGAGGATTCCTCCACTTACCAGATGTCTAAGCTCATTCAAATCCCTACACACAGAATAAAATACACTCATGAGAAGCTGACAGTATGCTTTGAAAAATTCCACAGGATATGAAGATGGACTGTCTCTTGCCATGATCTGCAGCAATTCAGCCTTTGCATAGTCAGGAAAGTGAATGACAAAGGGCTCATAAAACCCTGTACCAACTTGAAACTTTTCCCAAACAATTTGACTGAGCAAAATAATGCAAATATTTAGCTGAGTCAGTTCCTGGAGTCTTAAAAAGGCAGGAAGAAGATTTGCCTCAATATCTCGAAGTTGCTCTGCTTTGTCAAGCACAATGTAGAAGGTTTCCTTTGTGAGTTCCTTTGCTGATAAAGAATGTTTCAGGAGTCGTAAAAAGTCTGTCATATTTTCACATTTGGGAGGAGCATTCTGATCATCATCTTCATCCAGATCTTGTAGCTTGTATAGGATGTGCTCAAAAATCAGTCTTGCTGTAAAACTCTCAACACAGTTTACTAACACATGAGGAAGCTGTAAAATCAAAAGAATAATTTTGGCAGGACAGGTAAAATAAATTTTCCAACTTGTTGGGAGTGAGCAATTCTTTTACCTGTTGAATTTTCAAGAATTCCAAGCAATTTTAGGCAATAAGAAATGGTACTACACATGTCAAATTTTACCGGACAGGTACTGCCTGAAAAGGAGAACACTGGGCTGATTCCAGATACAATTGCTATTTTTACCTACGGTTTTATACAGCCTGAGCAGAAATTGTTGTCACTCTCATACATGAGTAAAGATTGAACAACAACCCAACTCACTAACAAATTTGATCCTTACTTGACTCTGATGCTCTTATGATGGCACCTGCTTTCCTTGTGCCCACACGATATGATTAACAATACATTTCATTGGGATAAATCAGTATGGCCAGTATACAAAGCACACCTTTGCATTCAGATCAAGAGTATGCAGCTCAACCATTCACTGACAGCTGTTTGGGTAGTTTCAATCTATTTAAGGTTACCTCTTGTGAGACCTCAGCTCCCTATTCCTGTATCCCATTCATTAACCTTTCCAGGGGGTAGCCAGGATTTTTCAAAGAGGGGATCACACTGTGTCAAACAGAGGGTACTCACCAGTTTTTCCCACCCAAATATTGTAGGTTGTTCGATTGAAAAAAGGCTTACCAAGGGGGGGGGGGGGTCACAGGTACCCTAGGACCCCACCCATGCCAGCTAGGCCCCTGTCCTTGGACCCCAAAGAGTGACTAACATCCAATTTCTCCTTACAATATCACCCCTGACATTAAGGTCACGAGAATATAAGAAATGATCAGCAACTAAAGAAGCTCTTGAGTGATAAACAAATTCCTTAGGAAATGCATAGAAAACAGTATAATTAGAAAAATATAATATACTATAATTAGTAAAACTCAAGTTATCATCCATTGGGTAAGACAGTCTGTTTTCACGTCAAGAGACACTTGACATCATCACGAAACGTTTTTCCTTCTTAGCAATAATCAATCGAGGATTTCTTCCTAATGAAACTTTTGCACTCACCTCTAAATCTTTTAGCAAAGTCTGCACAACAAATGATTTCCCTGTACCGATGTGTCCACAAATGAAGATCGCTGGACAAGTGTATGCCTCTCTTTTCCCAAAAAGAGTTAACAGTGCATCGATTTCATTCTTTCTGCAAATTACTTTCTTGTAAAGTTTCCCTATTTCGTCTTCATTAAACCCGAATAGCCCGCCATTCGCCATATTGGTTAACACGAGGGCACTGGAGAGAGTTGTCAAAACTTTTACTATCCAGGGGCTGTTGCGTGGATAGTTTTTAGTCGGCATTTTATGACCTCGAAATTTGAAATGTTGGTCCTTTCATCTTTAAAAAAAAAAAAAAAAAAAAAAAGAACTCTTAAATTGCAGTGATAGGCCCATAGCTTCTTTTTTTAATACTTTCTTTCAATTTCAATGGTTTTAAATTTTGAGAATAAATCTCCTTACCCCTCTGACGTCGGGAAAAGATTGTTAGAAAATAAGGATGGCGTCCTTTATTTTCACGGTGCTGTATTTCATCTTTATAACTTTGTGTATGACGGTTTTTACCCTCGTATTCTGCTTCGTGGTTTATTTGCAACATAAACACAAAACTCTCGACCACATTCCAGGCCCTAAGCGAGACGGATTTTTCCATGGAAATATCCAGACAATAGAACGCTTGAAGAAACTACACGGATTCACTAACGGCTTCGAAGTTTTCAAGTTTCTTTCTCAAGAGTACGGCCCAGTAATAATCGTCTGGATTTTTCATATCCCGTTTGTATACGTTTCAGGTGCAGAACTAGTCAAAAAAGTGCTGATAACATCCAATCTCCCCAAAGATGCTTGGTCTTACGATCAGCTCGGCTACTTGTTCAAAGAGAGATTTATGGGAAAAGGTCTCGTTTCGGAGACTGATCACGAAAAATGGAAATCTAAACGGCTAGCAATCAATCCTGCATTTCACAGGAAGTATTTAAAGGACCTTATGGAACAGTTTAACGCGAGTTGTGATGTTTTTTTGGCAAGATTGACTGAATTAGCTGATGGCAAAACTGAGGTGAAAATGGCAGATGAGTTTAACAGGATAACTTTGGATATAATCGGGAAGGTAAGGAGTTTAATCCTCGGTTAAGATGTAATTAAATTTTCATGTTTTAATTGAAATTCTGGAAAAACAAATGTACTCGCCATTTTACCCAATAACAATTAGTGTGGTATACTTCGTTTTTTTCTCTCTCTCTCTCTCTCTTTCTTTTGTGCCCCATTACCTTCTGACTCCCACCCTTCATTGTGTTGCTCCCATCTTCCACTTCCTGCCCCCTGTTCTCCTGCTACCCGCTCTCTCCCGCCCCCTGTTCTCCTGACCCCCTGTTCCCCTCCACACTTTATGCACCCTCCTTTTCAACGCCCAGCATTGAGGACCCACCCGTCCCCAAGGAGGGAGGCAGGGGGAAAGGGGACTGGGTAGTTTCTAGTTGTAGGTCATTTTTGATTTTCACATAATGTCAACAAAATTAAAAAAATAGGAATCATCACTTTTTTTTGAGATTTTAGTGTAGTTAGTTATAAGAACAGCTGAAGGCTTATCTTTTGACAAATTTTCCTTTTGATGGGGTTTTTTGTCTTGTGATAAAGCAAGGTTGAATTTCTTAGCTTTTACAAATACAAATATCTGAACTCAAAATATCACACCTACCTGAACCTGTGCAAGACTGTCTGATTATTTGATCTTCTTTTATCGTTATGACTCTTGACTTAAATTGTTAAATGGCTTTGATGACTGTGTGACAATGAAAACTGGCAATTGAGGATTTGCTGTTGGATGAGTTTGCATTTCTCAACTGGATTGACTATTGAATAGGGTTGCATTTTCAATAGTGTTACTAGAATGGGGTAGGAGATTTTAGGGATTTTGGAGGTGAAAAAAATTCTGATGACAATGGATTTAAAAATAGTTTTCTGTTTTCATAGTTAAAAAATTGTTACTGTATTACCAAAAGTGACCAAGATGGAGTCTATAATTGGCCACAGAATATACTCTAATGGGGTAGGGGTTCTGAGAGGCCAGCAGCACAATTATCCAGCAAAAAATTGACCCAAGTACCTCCCCCTCTCACCCCTGGGGGCCTGTCTGCAGGGTTGATGCATTATTTCTTCAGTCTATGATCAACCCAATTATCCACTACTTTTCTTCTGGTTTCATTGGTATCTTTTCCAAATTGCACCAACACCAGACACCTTTCCCATGTATGTATAGCATATATAGAAATTATGCATTCTTTCCTTTTCAGGTGGCATTTGGAATTGATCTAAATGCAGTCAATGATCCTGATTCCTTGTTCCCAGCGGCCATCAAGGAGTGTTTAGTTGCCCCAGTTTGGTGTTTATCCCATCCTCTTCATGCTATTGACTTCACCACCTATGGCTACCAAAACACTGTGGTGGCAGCAGTTCATTTCTTACGAGATACTGGCAAGAAAATCATGGATGAGAGAAGAAAAGCAATATTAAATGGTGATGATGTTCCATCAGATATTCTTACTTATATCCTCAAGTCAGCTCCTGAAGATACTCAGTTGGACTACGAAGAAGTGTTGGATCATTTTATCACATTTTTCATTGCAGGTAGGATATAAGAAAGTGCCTGTTAATGTTATCATCCAATTTGCAATTCAAATTGTCCTCCAAATTTCAAATGATAGACCACCCAGATGTTTTTTGCCCACATTTACAATTAAACAGGAACTGTTTTTGGCGAGATTATTAATGTTGTGAACTAAATTTCAAAGCTCATGTGTCAAGGAAAAGCAGAGTAAGGATCATAATTTCCTCAGTCTGTTTGACTCTATAGTAATCCATCTCATTGAATTGTGTCCAGTCTAAGGAGACCAAAAAAACCTGAAAATATTGGGTACACAAGTAGGTTCAGCAGCTGTATATAGATAAAGGTTAACTAACATGAAATTTAATTTTTTTAATTCATATTTTAATTCATTTGCTTCAGGCCAGGAAACCACTTCAGCAGCTTTGTCCTTCATGTTGGCTGAAGCAGCAAAAAATCCTGAAGTCGAGAACAAGTGAGTGAGGTGTTATGTAAATCTCTTTTCAATCGACATGTCTTGTGCATCCATTATGCCATTAAATTTCAACAGTATTCTATAAAATGTATGAATCTGTGAAATAATCAGAGAAATTTTTTCTCAAATTTGCTGCAGGTTAGTTCAAGAGGTTGATGATATCCTTGGTTCTCGTCAGTATGTTTCATATGATGACCTTGGCAAACTTAGCTACACAGGTCTTGCCATGAAAGAAACACTTCGGCTTCACCCTAGCGTCCCTGGTTTCACAAGAGTTATGGATAAGGATGGTGAATTAGGAGGCCATAGAATACCAGCAGGAACGTTGATAAATATTGGGGTGTTTACTTTACACAACAGTCCCAAGTATTGGAATGAGCCTGAGAAGTTCAATCCTGAACGCTTTTCAACCTTAAATGATGAAAATGAAGCAGGACACTCACACTATGCCTACATTCCTTTTTCACTTGGCCCAAGGCACTGCATCGGTCAAACATTTGCTGAATTTGAGTTCAAAGTACTCATGTCGCGGTTTGTGAAGTCATTCAAGTTCAAACTGGTTCCTGGACAGGATTTGAACTATGAAGAACCCAAGACAACATTATCACCTAAGGACAAGATTCGTTGCACTTTGACTTTGCGTTGATTGTTGTAAACTGAACACTGTTAACATGCACGTTTGATTTATGCAATTGAAAATGTAATTATGGTAGGGACCTGGAGCACTCAGGACTGAAAAAGCAGAGTATTAAAATTTCAAAAGAGAGTACCAGTCACTTGTGTCAGTAATATTCACACTGTCTTACAGATTTATTTACATACAGTCTCTTTTAATATCATCTTCAACAGAGCAAAAACTGTCTGATATCTGAGGCTTAATTTAGTAATTGATACAAATCGAAAAAATAGATAATTTCTATTATCCTTGCATGTTCATGTACTCCTGTTGCTCCTAGTTTGCATTGAGCATTAATCATTATGGAGATTTTTTTTTCAAAAATGTTCCTTGTAATTTACAAACAAAAGTACTTTACAGAGCATATAATATTATTAAGAATGATATAATTAAATATGAAGAAAAAAACACACCCAGAGAACTGAAAATACTATTGCCAAAATATAAATTTAGAGTAATTGTCAATTACTTGTCTTGAAATATTTTGCCATGTGTATTATTTGTGAAGCCATTATTTTATCATTTTAAAACAATCCTTTAAATCAACACTTTTAATTTATAATTTACTCTTTGTCTCATCAATGTAATTTGAGAGATCTCTGACTGGTAAATTACTTCACAGATGCAAAATACAGCATCCATATTGTTCCCCAGAACTTTGGTGGTTACCTTGTCATGAAAGTACGTCTTAGGCTGGGGGGTTACAACCTTGCTAGGCTAATGGGATGTACCACTAGATGGGGTCACATTTTCATGACTGGATTGACAGTAAACAAGTTGCATTTCAATAGAGTTAAAAGAGTGAGGTAGCATTGTGGGGGCTTTTATGTCTGCTTTCACTGTCAAAAGAGAAGAGAGGGCCTGAGCAATCAACAGACCATAGAGCTTCTCTCTGGAGATCTGGCCTGACTAAAATTAGGATTGACTTGAATCAGTGCAGAAATCCATTTTTTGCCACTAAATGTCAAGAGGCAGACTTGATTTTCTTTTCAACGGAACAGGTTTACAGAGAGCTCTTCCATCTTTTCCCACTGCTTGACTCAATTGAGTCTAAAAGAAATTGCAAATGATAATTGTTAGTAAGTATTACAAAAGGCTGTTCATTATTTCTAACAATGACATGTTACTAGACTTAAACAGTGTGCACCACTGACACCAGCAAAACATCATTAATTAAACTAAGTTCAACTAAACAAAAATCAGAAACAGAGAACTGAAAAACTGAATTTTCCATAGAATTCATTAAGTAATCACTAGCTTTTATTTCCAACTTGCTACATTTCTTTGGAGAAAAAGAAACTTCAACCATGTCTAACAAAACAGGTCAAAAACATGTTAAAGCTTTGGTGCAAATGGGTTACTGGGTTTTCTTTCTACAGAGTTGTGTGGATTGTCTCAATCATTCAAGCCATCTAAAAAGATTCAATAATGTAATTAAATAAGACTCACAAACTTTTCCTTCTTTTTCCAGTTTTGTTAGATGATGGTTGACATTGTTTTCAGCTGCTCTGTGAAGGTGCCATGGAGTTTCCTGTCAGAGATGTGTGATCACTTTAATAAATAAATAGGATTTGTACAACGTAAGAACTACATTGAACATCTTTTAAAATGTACCATCGTTATTTAAGAAAACAATTTGCAATTCAGTTCACAAGATACTCGCACAAAAATAACTTTCAAATTGATAACAACCAGAAAACTATTTGATAACTAGACAATCAAACACTTGTAAAATTAATATTAAATCTTGAAAACTTGTATCCTCGCTTATTCCAAAATTGGCCTAACTCTAGTCAAAATGGATTCCACCTGGATTTCCCCTGTACATTTACTGCAATTCTAACCCTGGTAACCTGAATCCTCAGTAACTTAAACCTTCCACAAGTTCACCAATAATTTTTCACCACCAATACAGTTTAAATCTTGGAAATTTAAAAACTCCTCATTCATGCTACAATGAAAAATGAATACAATTTCTAATATCACCTTACAAAAATAATTTTGAGAACTAATACATACAGCTTAAAAAAATCAAGTCATACATTGATGATTGGTCTGCATGCAAAAACATCTGTCAACAAATTTTTCTGATTGCATGACGATTGTCTTACATAGGTTAAACATAAACAGTATTACTGTGCATGTGCACTGAATTAACACGCTATTTCTTCTTTTGAACATCAATTATGTGTCTTGCATAGTACATTTTGTGCCACAGGTTCCATGCAAACTATGTAATTATGAAAGAAATTGGTTCTGTCTTTATTTAACAAAAACTCACAACATAAACTTTCTTTACAATGTCCATTGCAGTCACTGGATTTTCCAAGCTTTCTCCCATGGCTTGAAGGATCTAAAATCAAAACACAACACATATCATACAATCACATTTCAAACAGAAACTGCTACAGCCTTTAAAACAACAGTGTATCACATGCTCAACTAATGAACTTTCTGGTCCAAATTAACAGCACAACAACCACCGAATACTGGTTCTGAGTTTTCTCTAGAAAGGAATGACTGTCACAGGGCTTAATTAAAACTTGAAGCTCTTCAGGGAGAGCCTCCACCCAAGTCAGTTAATTACTCTACACCAATATAAATATATTTGATCCAACAAACCTGCATTTAAATTGGATCTAAACCTTTCAGAGACTTTACCTGCCCTGTCTGCAGAGTATGGCAGATGAACCTGCAATTTTTTCCTTTCTTAACATACATTTTCATGTGGCAGAATAACCTTTGCATGCTCAAGATCTTGTTGAGTTCTGCAGTACTCTGCAGACTGGTCAACCGCCACCAAAATTGTTCAACCCTTTACACCCGAATAACAGTATGCATATTCTCTATACCGTTCTCTGTACATTTTCTAAAGAGAAGACAAAGAGAATTTGTTTACTAATCAAGAGCTTCATTAGTTCGTGATCATTTCCTTTCTTCTTGTGACCCTGATATGTGAATTGGGGGTGATATTGTGGGGAGAATTTAGATGCTTGTCACTCCTAGGGTTCCAAGGGTTAAATGGACTTCATGTACCTGTTTTTCTCTTGCATTTCTGTGTTCAATATACTCCTTGACTTTTGTTACACCTTCCTCTATAACTGGACCATGCCCAGGGTAGATAAGATCTGGAGACAAGTTCAAGATGACTTCTAGGGATTTCATGTAGGTGTAAAGATCTTCGAATACCTGAAATCATTTGAAAAAGATTGGCAAGTTGACCAATATGATGGCATTACAGCAAATTTGAAACTACAATCAATTTCCTGCACTGAATTGAGTATCCTTTGGTAGAAGTTTCATTTATCCAAAGAGTTGTTTCAACTTTTTAACTGTCAACCTTTTCACTCCCAAGATCTCATTAGCAATTCTCCTCATCATCTGCCATAAAATTCTTATGATGTTAGCTCAGAGAATTTGGTATACAATCAACTAAAAACTCACTAATTGATATTTTTCCTTATTCTCATCACTTCTGCTTATATTGTATTGCTAATGTACGGAGAAATTCTGTCTTAGTCAATCATGGGAGTTAAACTGATATTTTTCATTGTTTTAATTACTTGTCTTCTTGACTTGATATTGCATTGATAATGTAAAGAAAAAATTTAATTCTTTCTTGGTCACTTATGGGAGTTAGAGGGTTATAGGAAACAGTTTTCGTGTCCCTAAAAGTGACTGCTTACAGGAGGCTTAACTGTACCTCATGTTTAATATGTGATTTGGGTTCTAGTCTGAAGACAATTTTATAACTGTTACATGGCTGGACAGGTTGACATGAACCAGTCTGGAAAAAGTCATCCAGCCCTGAATTCAAATGGCTCTTTTGAATTTCCTGAGAACATGGATTGATATTGTGGACTTTAACTTAGTGAATTATCAGTACCTTATTCTAACTCAAAGAAAAGAAAGAAGAGTTTTTATTTCAGAACCTTTTCAGTTGTTGTCCAATATGCACCCTTCTTTTGTATGCAAGTGAGTCCTATTTAGGTTGACACAAAAGTTTAGAAATTTTCAACACTTGGTGGTCAAGTGATAAAATGCCTACTGATTGAGTTTGGTCGGGCTGGATAGGAAAATATTCGGCTCTCAGTCATGACCCACTGTCCTTGCTGCACTTGGTCAGTACACCATAACCTTGAACTAAATAATTTCTCATCAAGCCCTCCCACTAAGTCAATAAGTATATAATATTGTACTTACAGTGGTACCTTGACCCAAGATACAGTCTCCTGAAAAGACAGCATTTTCTTCTTTCAGATAAAGTATCATGTGGTCTGTAGTATGACCAGGGGTGTGAAAAACTTTTAATGTTGCTCCTTCTGTCACAATTTCATCTCCATCTTTGAGGTAATTGTACCTATGCTCAGTAGTGCCACTGATCTCTTCAGCAACACCCTCTTGTGGAAGCTTTGAAATTTTCACATGACCTGTAAGTGTAAGAACAGCCATAATTCATTGGTTCCTCTTAATATTACTTTTTTTATATAATGTAACATATATCAGTTTTTTTTTTTCAATTTCAATGACTTAAAATACATACATATAGCTCCTATCCTATTTGTGAGAATTCACACTGTTTGTGTTAAAAAAAAACCACTAACCACATCACATGGTTTTTCATGATATTGTTCTGTTTGGTTCTTAGAATAAATTGATGACAGGCCTACTGCATGAAGCAATTCAACAATATAATCAGTCAACTACTGTATAGCCTTGACTCACAGAAGCAGTTACTCAGACTGGATTCCAGGGCGTGAAATTAATTTTTTTTCCTGATAGCCTCTTGGCTCCTAAATTTTTCAAAGTGGTAGCCAGTTCAAAAAAAGTTGGTCGTCATTTTTTCACACTGTCAGCGTCCTACATAGACTCTCCAAAATTAAGTTCTACAAAGTTCTACAAAGTGGACACTAGGATGGATGATATACAAATTCCAGCTCAACTATATCCAAGATGGCGTCTAGTCATCGATCGAGATGCATGTGCCGCGTTTTGGAAACAAACTTAACGAGGAAGTTTGCCATGGATTTATCTTTGCAAATCTTTTTAATTCACTACATCTCTAGGTAAGGTTATGATGAAGCATTCTAATCACCAATTTGCTGACTACTTTTGAGGATTTGGTCACCAAAGTGAAAAATTTAGTCGTATTGGCACCTGTATTAGGCACAATTTCACACCCTGGATTCATGGTCATCTCTTTTAACTGCATGATTGACCAAGACAGAATTTCTCCTTACAATATCAATAAAACATCAAGCAGACAATTCATGAGAATAAAGACAAATATCAATAAGGGAAAAATTAGTTGATTCAATACAAAATTCTCCTAAATAACATTATAAGAACTGTATTGCAGACAGTATGGAGAATTACTTTACATGAGATCCTGGGATTGAAAGGATTAACATACCGTATGTAGGTACTATTTATATGTAATACAGTACCTGAATTATCTAAGCACTTAAGAACATCAACAACTCCTCCCACATGATCTGGGTGCCAATGTGTGACGAGAATCTCTTGAATACTAGACCGACTTTCTGATAATACTTCTTTGAGTTTAGCTATGTATTCAGTTGAACCACCACTTCCTGTGTCAATCAATACTCGACTATAGGAAAACACAATAAATTCATGTATTCAAAATCATTGTGAACAATAAGAATAGATATAATCACAAATATTAAAAAAAAATTCAGTGGAATAGGATGTAAGATGATGAAATTGAGATAAAAATGAATGATTTTACAGATCTGCACATTTGTCTCAGGGATTTGCAAATAGATATTTAAATATGTAAATAGATTGAATTGAAGGACATGAGATATCTGAATATCATGACTACAAAACACAATAACACAATAACACGAAAATAGTGTGCTATTGATATGACTAAAAAAAATCACAATTAAGCTCCTTTGACCCTTAAGAGTGACCAAAATCTACTTTGGAGATAGGAGAATAAAATATGATTTATTCTCACCATATCATCCCTGACTGTGAATTTATGAAAATCATATATGTGCATTGCTGTTTAGAAATTAATATGAAAGCGATCTTCACAGTAATAAACCCTATTTAAGCAGAGGAGAAAATAAGGCCTGATAAAAATTCAGGCCTGTACAAGATTTCAACCCATGACTACTACCATACCGGTGTAGTACCCTATTCGTTTTTTAACCCGCACTATTTTCACTACTGCTTAAATAGTGTTCATTACCGCGAAGATCGTTTTCATTTTCATAACATCATCCTTATATATATGAATCCAACATTAAGGTCACATGAAAAGGAAACGATCTCCAACTAAAGAAGCTCTCGATTGTAAAACAAATTCTTCCTGTCAGCAGTTTAGGAAATGTATGGAGACGGTATGGAGAATATGCATACTGATGTCAAGGTGTAAAAAGGGTTAATGTTAGCTTATCCAGGCTTATCTTCGCGGGAAGCTATCACCTTTTTCCTGTCCCGACAAGATAGGTATTTGTTCCTTGGAGCGTCATGGGGCTAGGATTACATCCCAGGATGCGTAAGACACGCGGAGAGAGTTGTTCCACCGTTGGCAAGCGAACAAGATTGCCTGCAAAACCAGTGTACGCGGAAATCCATCCCGCCATCTTGTTTCCCATCTTGCTCCCATGGGTAAATACACCGACCGTCCGCAGGCTCAACCTGCTTGTTGCTATGCAGCAAGTTGCTGGAGCGTTCATAGAGACGATTCATTAGACGGTCAACACAAACATGGAAAGCGGTGAACAGGAGAAAGACAAACAAAAATCGTCTACGGCTGAAAATCAAGACAACATGGCAGCGACAAGTAAGTTTGCGCATTTTGCTGTTTTACTCAAATTCAACGTAATTCTAAGTGAATACTTTTGCTGTCTTTCAGCTGCCTCTCGAATAGACGTCCTATCCCGGGCAAAGCCTGTTCCTGTAGGATTCATCGAGGATAGGTAAGAGATCTGAGACAAACTACTATGTTAAGAATACATAACAAACAATTTAGGAAAACTTCAAAACCAAGCTCTCTTAAATTGTATACGTGTCTTTACATGGACAGAGCGGAAACATCTCATTTGTAGGGAAATTTTTCGATTGCAAAGCAAAAACATTGAGTTATTTCTCACACTTTATTCACAAGAAAGTTAATTTTGATAAATTATTGCTTGCAATTGATCTATCTTACATTAATACACGTCCGTTATTGTAGAATAAAAAGGTCGAATCAGCTAGCTCCCGAAAAAGGGGAAGATTTGTAAAGTCACGCTCGGAATTTCTGACATGTTAGCAATGGTTCATGCGGTCATGAAAAACAATACCCCGATATGTGGTGACTTACTAATTTGTTGCCCGCTGAAATTATGTTTTCAGGCGATCAGTATACTGGGATAATAACTTTGCAAAGGACTGGGATAACATACAATCGACTAAAAGTGGTAAAGTGTCTCGATTAATAAACAATTAAACGAAATTTGACTCTCATAATTATTATGGGTAAAAATTTCGCAATTTGTCGTATTTTAGAGTATCAATGGTCTCCTGCTGTCCTAAAGAAAACAAACATTTTTGTTCTTAGCAACCAAAATTAGCTTTTTCAATAGATACCACAGCTTCAAGAAAAATAGAGATGTTTTAAGAGTTTTTTCAGGCCTTTTTTTTTAATCAGTTCGAGTGGAGTGCTGCTTTATTCTCATTTATTTAATAGAGCACAGGCTGATTAGAGCATCTGGTTGAAACATTCGAAACAATAGCTCTACTGCATCCGATCTATCGATGGAAAATGATTTACCATGGGGCCACTTAAGAAAACCAAATTTACGTATGATTTTTTAATGAAATCAGGTACAACTGTTTGTGAGGTTTCTACGTTATTTATCATGGTTAGAAGGAGAAAATTCAATCGATGCTCAAAATGTCCAGGGCCTTAAAGGAATATTGACTGAGTTATGCCTTTGATGCTTTCCTTTCAAGCATATAGATAACATTCACCTGATCCAGTTGAAATATTTTTAACTCATTTTTATTATAAATCAACAGTGTTAAGTGACAGACAAGCACAACTTGTTTATAGCAAACAACTTCACAAAGATTACGTAGGAGACAGGTAAGGCAAATTACAACAGTATATATATATATTGTGCACAATTTACTGCAACTCTATAGTGATTTCAAAATTAATCAAACTATAAGAAAATGCTTGAATAAATTGGTTATTGCCAAATCAATTTGAACACTAATAAGACAGTGTAATCATGCCAGTGCATTTGGACAGTACTCATCACCTGTGCTTGCGGTTGTTGCCCATTTTTCCGAGTCAACTGTTGTTTCCTATGGAAATGTAAAACCAATGACCAGTTTGTTTCTCAAATTTTGTTATGCTGTAGTTTTGGTAATTAGATAACAGGGCTGCATGTCCTTGACTTCTGTTTGTAATCAATCATACTTGTTATTAACAAATTAAACTCCTATCTTGCAGTCATTCAATTTTTTCTTATCACTTGTATAATTACAGATCAAATTTCAAGTTTCTAAATCAACATCAACAAGAGACCCGCTTTAAATGCACTGATCATTCTGTAGAGTTGTAGTTTACAGAATGAAGTGAATTTAATTAAAACAGTTAACAAACTTGAAAATTTTACCCTTTGAAAAATTTTTTGTAGATTCACAAATTGTAATAATGCTTCTTACACCTGTCACACCCTACTGTTACATCTGATATGGTGCTGACAAGGAGAATTTGTTTACCAATCATGAGCTCCTTTGGTTGGTGATCATTTTCTCCATTCTAATGACCTTCACATGTGATTCAGGGGTCATACTGTTAGGAGAAACTGGATGCTAATCACTTTAACGGGTCAAAGATATTAATGATGACTATTGTATACTTAACAGAAAAAGTGCAATCTGGCCAGTAAGTGAGGCAGCAATGAAAGCCACGGCATCACAGAGACTGGAAACCCTGTCAGAGGCAAAAGCTCTTCATCGCGACTACCAACCTTGTCAGCAAGTGCAAAGACTTGTCAGTGAAGCAGCTATGAAGGCTGAGCCTTCTCAACGAACTGAATTCCTTGCACAACCCAAAACTTATGCTCCCTTAAAAATCAAGTCAAATAGTGATTGGGATTGGAGTGAGTGGGAATCTGATTTGACAGAAGCTGCCAAGAATGCAACAGCATCAGAAAGAGTTCTTGTGCTTTCAAATCCTAAGATGCCACACCGCAATTACAAAGAGGGGCGTCCTGTGATCTGGGAAGTGTCACAGACAGCCCAGAAGGCTCTCCCATCTCTCAGAGTTCAGCAACTTGCGAGGCCGAAAAGCCGCAGTCAGTACAATGAAGACTATGATGCTAATGCATGGAAAGTCTCACAGGGGGCAAAAGCGGCACAGGCAACTCCCAGAATAGAAGAACTTGCTTTACCAATCCCTAGAAAAGTCAGAAGTAAAAAAGTTGTGTGATCCATTCTAATAATTTATTTATTGATTATCAATTCACTCCAAATTTCTCTACTATGATATGTTATGCACACTGCATTTACCATTGATCTCTTTGTGGTGCAATGAATACCTTTCCTCAATAAATGACATATCTACCCTCTGCTGATATTTTAGCATAGTTATGACAGAAAAAAATTAACAGAAGAATGATTTCTAGTTATTGAAAACTCTGAGTTACTTTGCACCCATATGAACCTTGCTGACACTGCCCAGTAGGCTTCACGCCTTGGCCATTGCGTGACCTTATTGCGTGACAAGTTCTGAGTCTGTATTTTACAAGCAATTTACAATTTGATTCTGATAAACGGATCTGAATGTTTTATGACTGACAGTTCATTTCTTTAAGTAATCATATTTTCTACTGTAAAGCAGGTTCTATTGTCTCTAATGCAGTAGCACACGCGTTCTTTTGCATGTCACGCAACGTTTCCCGTGAATAACAGGAGTGTATGAACTACTTAAACCACGACCAGGACTATCCTGTTTCAGAGTAAACATATTTTTATTTAAATCAATCTTGGTTTTGTTTTAAGTAATAAGCCCAGGTCTCAAAAATTAAAAATGGCTTATTAAAAAGTAGTAAAACGATTTACAACATCGACCGAATAACTAATGGCTTTTCAGTATCTTTCGAGGTGATTCCTTGGTACTGCGCATAAAATTGACGTAAGCGCGAGTATTCCGAGAACGCGGTATTGTTTTTCAATAAATGGACCAGGTAAAGAGGTACGATGATCTTAGGCTAATGAACGAGCACGGTGACTTTTTTTTGTTGCATAATTTTGGTGTACAAATTGTCCCCTTTAAACTGGCAAAAAAAATTGATCCAAAGGAAAAAAAGATATGGCTAAAAGCGTCCACAAAGCCCGTTACTCGATAGCGCAAATTATGACTTTGAAAGCAATTACTCGAACGTTTTGAGTCTAAAATTGCGTGATTTTTTCACAAATTATAATCAAATTGTTCCATACGCTCGAGACTTTCTATCTATCAAGTTTTGTTTTTTGTTTTAATGTTACTTTAACAGGGCTAAAAATTAACTCCAGTGCTCGGTGGCCAGTCGGGCCAGCTTCCTTGAATTCTTAGTGGCCCATCCCAAAATGAAATGGCCCTCGATTTCCTCTAGTTTAAAATGAAAAACTTGAACAAATGCCCCATGGCTTTTGACGGAGCGTTAACTAAAAGGAAAGAACAAGCTCATAAAATCACTGTTAAAACGGCTCGGAATTTCCACTTCAGAACTAAAAAAATCGCTAAAATGGATGATCTTAGAGTCCAGACAAAGAAAAGAAGAGAAAGGTAGTCCAATTAAACTACATATTGAGTTTTATTTTCAACTTTGTACTTCGCATAATTTACATTGCAACTATTCGAAATTCTGTAGCATAGTCGCACATCGGGCGTTCAAACCTCAACTTTTGGTGGCCCTGGTCAGTTTTAACTCGCCACTGGCGACCGTGCGACCGCCAATTTTTAGCCCTGCTTTAAACAACCTTGCTTCCAGCTACCTCAAAATGTACTGTGAACCGATCGATGAAATCACGGGTTCTTTCTATACGTTTCTTCAGGTTGAACGTGAAACGAGGAAGAAATAACACCTAGACTTAGCAGGAGGAGATTATAAGTTTCCGACAAAAATAAACTTGTTGTGCTGCGTCGGCGGGCAAGTAGGTAAACTTTTGCTGAATATCACATAGGAATTAATCAGTGATAAAGGTACAAAAATAGAAGGAAAAAAATTCAGCGCTTCCCCTGTGAGAAAAACGAGTTCGACTTGCGTGAGGGTATCAGGAAAATCTTTTTTCAAACCAAAGACTTTGTTCTTAGCACCATTTTGAAGCGGAGAAATCAAGCGTCTCGAAAAATGGTATATTATAAAAAGGCCCCAATGTTGCTAAATGGAAATTTAGCTAACGACTCTGGACAGGAAACAATCTTTGTAGAACGAGAACTACTCAAAGTGAATTTGTTTGTTTTGTTTTTTGTTTTGTTTTGTTTTGTTTTTCTGCGTAAAAAAAAGAGCGAGTTTTATTTATCTCAAAACACAAATGTTTACTCATCTAAAAAAACGATGACCCTTTTTGTGAAACAGATTTAAAGAACTTTTACACCTCCAAGATTCATGGCGGAAATACCGGGCAAACATTCAGATGAAAGCGACCTCGCATCACCCGCGGAGGGAGCACTGGACTTCGACAACGACAATGTTAGAGGGGAGCTGTACCAATTTAAACTGAGATTCGTGAAATAATTATTTATGGGAGATGTGGGAAAGTAGTGTTTCATATTGTAAAATAAAGCTTTTAAGTCTTTAAGTTTTAGATCTCACTTCATGAGTTTGCTTGAGAGCTTCCAAAGTATACCCGGCGATTCACAACAAAATACCCTCCAGAGCTCCAGCGGGTGCCAGGTCTTATTTGAAGCACTGGATATAGGCACTGTTTCATCCCCAAAGCAAACTTAGGTAGATCTCCGACAACAGAAGACATGTCTCATCTTTTGGCAAAGATCCTTGACATTACAGCTCACTGCTTTTCCCTCGTGATAGGATTTTAAGCTTGTCATAAATACTGCATAAAACTTTAAAATTATTTTTTACGGTTGGAATTCACAGTTCGCTTTACAGTGCTAACAAGAGATTCTTGAAGAACAGGAAAAATTCTTGCACAACCTTCCATACCGCACTTTATGGCCTGAAGATAAAAAAAAGGGATAGATAAAAATTACAAAATATAAAAAAAGAGCCCCATCATTTATTTCAACAGGACTGCACTCAGTAAAATAACATATTGTGGGACGATTTTTTCGCAAAGACGTGTTGGTAGCTATTTCTATGAGCACTAATTGTCAAAAGTTGTACTCAGAGAGAAGATCAAATCCTGTAACAGATGGCAAAGAATTTTGCTGTGCAAAGAAACCATTCAAAAGCCATTTAACATGTGGAAAATTTGGGAAGGGGTATGTGAATTGGCCAACTACAGTATATGATCCACCCCCCCTTCACCCTATCCCCTTCACCCCATCCCCTACCCCCTTCACCCTACCCCCTTCACCCTATCCCCCTACCCACTTTACCCTATCCCCGTTCCCCCTAATCCCTTCACCCTATCCCCCTTCACCCTACCCTCTTCACCCTACCCCCTTCCCCCTACCCCCTTCACCCTATCCCCCTTCACCCTACCCCCTTCGCCCCATCATTCTTCACCCTATCCCCCTTCACCCTACCCCTTCACCCTATCCCCCTTCACCCTACCCCCTTCACCCTATCCCCCTTCACCCTACCCCTTCACCCTAACCTCTCCCCCCTACCCCCCCAACATTAACTTCAAAACACTCAGAAGTACCACCATTAATAATAAAGAAAATTCACAATAATTTTGCACCATGCAAATTTGTAATCGCTAGAACTTTCTTTTATGGTCTTCCTTGTACTTGAGATTCAATTTATCCAATGGTGCAGGTGATCTGGTGTTGCATTTTCAACTGATGTTTAAAACTGGCAGGTGTGTAATCTGCCATGTGAGTATACAGCCAGAAATTATGCTACTCTGAAAATTTTCCCCTTGGTATAAAAGTCAAAGATCAGATGCAACACATAACTAATTACCTTGTTGGACTGATCCTGTGTCAATTCACCATCTTGTGACAAACCAGATATGACATTCATAGTAGGAAGAAAGGCTATGGTGACCCTTCCATCAATATCTGAAGATGAAGTCTAACAAAAGACCCATAATTCATTAAGAAGAGATGGAATAAAACTTGTACTATCTAACATTTATTTTCAAGTCAAAATAATACTCTTGCCATGAAATTTCAAAGGACAAAGAGAAGTCAAAAAGTGCAAAGCATCATGTGTTTGAAACTTGTACAGTGGCCTAAAGGTAGGTTATTGAAAAGAGGTTTGAAAGCTAAGCAGTGTTGAATTAATCTAGAAAATTTGGCTTTATCAATTGAGTTGATAATGTAGATTGGCCGCTGTAAAGAGCTTCAAAGCTGGCATTTTAAGCATCAGCCCTTCGTCAGAGCCACATCAAACTAACCTGTTCCAGTGCTGACTCTGTGCGAAATAGTTAACAACACAATAGAAATGACAGAGTGAAAAATGAGAAAAGTTAGGGCCTGGGTCACGTAAATAGTTCTTAGGAAGTTCATTACACAATCTGTCCCAGACCTCCCTATCTTTTCACCTCTCTGCAACTATGGTGCTGTTTACTATTAAAAATAATTGTGCTTTGTTTCATTTACCAAGCATCTACAACAGACTGGAATCAAATAGAAAAGAATATGACCTGTAATAAGTATTGTACCTATTATAAGTAATCCATTAAACCATTATTTTTGTTCACTAAATATCTTTACCTCTTGAAATGTGGGATCCACCAGTGATGTGTCACCTTTCTGCACCTGTGGAAGTCATAAACGATCAGTGAACCCTTTTACTTCCAAGACCATTTCATAATTTTTATTTTTTTTAAGTTTTGATAATAATTCTACACCTAATTTCATGCTGCAAACTTAAGATAAAAAAAAGTACATCAACAGTATAACAGAATTTTATGCTCAACCACCTCAAGCTAAAAAGAACTTGTTGACAAGCATGCAAGGCCATAAAATTAATGTGAGCCATACCATACTAAATCCATTGACTAAAATATCAAAATTGAAATGATCTAGCACCAAAATGTCTAAGCAGAGTTGTTTCCTTACCAAAGAACAGGAGGAAACAAGGTCATACATTTCTATTCCAGCCTCCCCAAGGGCCAGTGATGCACAAATTATTCCAGCAGAAAGAGCTGTGTGTACATGAAATAACAAGATTGGTTACAAATTACATAAATATACAAAAGTCAACTTTAATTACTCAAGTTCTATTGTATGAGATCATACATGTGGATTTTTCAAAATGCTGGAGACTTTCAACCGAGATAATTTACATGACTGCTACATATTGGTGAAAATTTTACCACAATTCTTTTCTGATGAAAGATGACAGTTTCAGATTGCAAATTAACTCATATGGAATGTAAGAAACAAACAAGAAGTGTACAATTAACAGTGTACCACATCAAGCAGCATGAGAAAGCAGTAAAGAACTATGAGTGAGCAATAAGAAATTATCAGGTTGGATTTAAAAGGATGGTTTAATGAAAAAAGCATCAATTTTTATAAACTCAAGCTGAGCTTACTACATATAATATACATGTATTGTGGTTTGAAAGACTAGTTTAGGTAAAAATGACCACTAAATGTCTTAATTTAATTTTTCCTTTGTTTGTTCACAATACAGCCAGAGCTACAAAGAGAATGTTCCCTATCCAAAAGTAAGTACCACGTTGTGCATATAACCATAATTTGAAATCATTTTGACCATTCCAGCTCATTTTAGCATTTACACTACCAACAACAGATTCCTACACTTTTGTACAACAAAATGCAATTGTCATGCCCACTGACTAACCATTTCCATCATTTTCTAAGACAGTAATATAGATGTCAACTTGAGCTTTGGGGAACTTCTCCTATGAATTACAAAAAGAAGAACATGCCAGCATTATTTGCCAATTCAAAACTAATTTTAAAAAAAACGAAAAACCGAGGTTGAGTTAGCAAAAATTCGATCAGTTTTTATCCTTGAAACTAAGTTTAAGCATGTCATGTTGACATAGAGTTTTCAGAGCCCATGATTAGGTTTATTTGTTTCTTGAGGGGCCAATTATCATTTTAATTTCATGTTAAGTAAAATAAAAAACAAAGGAAAAAAATTACCATAGCCAGTTTACATTATCAACTGTGTTTGTAACTGCTGAGTCATCAGAATACAAAAAATTCTTGAAAACATACCAAGCAAACTGCTGGCTGGAGAGCTTGGACAATAAATGAAGATAGCTCCTTTTCTTCTGAATCCTGAAAAACAGAAATGAAAAAAAAGAGTCTTATACAGCTATTTTCAGTCATTAGTTTATAATGAAAGTAATTGAATGCTAGAGAGTTTGTGGATTGAAGGATTTTGAAATTTGGCAAAGAAAAAAAAAAAAAGAAAAAAAGATCACTTTCAGACAACCAAAGAGAGGGGAGTCAACTATTTTCATAACAGAAAACAACAGAGCATTAATGGTGTTGAACCTCTAAATAAAGAAGTAAAAATGTTGTACATGTGGCTTGCACAATGATTAACTGCTGAACACAAGCTTCCAATTTTGTGCCTTTCTCAGAAAATTTACAGAAAATACTGGCAGTAATGCTAACTAAAGATATCTTTCTTTCTACCAGCCATGATGGCAAAAATTGTTCAAACTTGGGAGTGCTGCTCTCACTAAATGTACCTCATGGAGTTGTTAGAAGGTCAATTGGCATTAACTCAAGGTTAAATTTCAAACCAAGTTTCTTTATTCCTATGTTCAAAAGCCTCTTTGGGACAATTTTCTCTATTCTTTGTAGAGAATTCAATAATCATATTCTAGACAAACAAATTATATTGAATTTTCTTTTAAAGCTTTGGGATCTGAAGTCAGATTTCACACTAATCCTGGATTATCCTAATTCAGCTTTGAACAACCTGGTCCTAGAATATAAAAGGTTGCCAGTAAACTTTCAGGAAATCTGGACAAAAAAGCTAAGGGTCCTCTTCATTAATTACCCAGCTTCCCAGAAAAGGAAGTTAACAAAGCTCCCAATTGTATCTTAAATGAAAAAAATTATAGCTGCTTCATCAAATCATTTAGTTCATAAAATAATCTTCCCTCACAACAGCTAGTGATAATCACCTGCATGTGTTGTCGCCTTTGCCAGCATGAAAATGGTGCAAACTTGAACTCACAAGTCAACTTTCCCTTTAAAATAAGACTTGTAGGTTATTTCTAAGACATTAAAAAGACAGAATAAGCAGAACATCCTACAGTGCGCTACACATATTTCATTGATATAATAAATTCAGTATATTTGGTGGACATATTGCAGACTTTATCGTTAATTTCCTTTCAAAAGTTCTTCAATCCAGATTCAATTTCCTTATCTTGAATCATGTAGAACTTTTCATGTCTGATACTAAAAGTTCTGTTTAGGAAACTCAAAGTCAGCAAATGATCACATTAACAAAATACACCAAAAACCAAACTATCACAATATCTATCATAATGATAATTAAACATCTTCTAAACTGCTTAGTATACAAAAGAACTTTTATGTTTCAAAGCATTCTGCAAACTTGCTGTACTGTTAAATGTACATTACTATATAGTGACTTATAAATTATATTATATATGTTTTACTATTACCCTTTCACTAAACTCTTGCTGTCTCTGTGATTCTCTTGGCCCATATCTAACACTGAGTCAAGAGGCAAAATGATTTTTTTTTGTTCTTATTCTAAACTGAAATGATGAAAAAAAAGAAGTATTGAACATGAAAGTCCTCACTTGACATTTCTTTCTTTATGTCCAGTACTTATAATCAATGAGTATGTTTCTATAAATCATACATTGTTCTAACATAGCTAGTAAATTTGTCTCACTTGACATTTCTTTCTTTGTGTCAAGTACAAATAATCAATAGACATGTTTCTATAAATCATACATTGTTAATAAAGTCAGCAATGAACAGAGCATCAAAGAGGCAATTTGCAATACTGTGTCTTTTTTAACACATTAACCTGACTGTCACAAACCTTGACAATGATTTTCAATTTTTGATTTTAATTGGAAACACAAAGACACAAAGAAAACAATTATCCTTTATTCAAAGGATCTAAATTTTTCAAAAGGACAATATCCCAGAGGAGGGATGTCTACTCTTTACCTTTGGTCTTTGAAACATTGTGGAGATGGATCGATTAATTTATAAAAGTACATGTTCATGTACATAATCGTATAAGGATACACAGCACATGTGACTTTGGTGTTCTGCATTTCAATGTATGCTGAGCCTCTGGCTTGACTGACTACCCCTGAACGCAAAACTGCAACAATAATAATAATTATTGTAATAGTAATTATAATAATTGTACTAGTTTTAATCATAGTTATAAAGTACTTCTTCGTATAATTTTGTTTCATACGAATTATTTTAGTATAATTATTATACATATTACGATACACTCGCTTTTTTGTTTTTTGTTTTTAATTTTTCAGAACTTAATGCTTTGTTTTGATGAGTGCGTTCATAAAACTTCATATTTCATCGTTTCCCTTAAATTACTTCAGTTTATCTGTTGCGGAGTCAACTTACACATCGGTCGAAGTTCGTCTGTTTTCCGTCCATCTCTTCGTAAACCGTCACCAGTTATCTGAAGTGAGAGACAAAGTCATGAACGAAGGAACACAATGAAAGCTGAAAAAGAAGAGGATACTATTCCTTTCGTACCAGAGGTTTATCGAATGCCTTTCTTCCTGTGAAAATAACGGGCTGGGTGACTTCGGGCCCTGCGATTCTCCTGTTATCGACCGGCATCGCGCTGCATAACAGATTCAGAAACTCAATTATCGTCAGGCGTTCCGAGCCTGACGTGGAAGCCTGGATTCGAAAAGATGGTTAGGGTAGGGAGGGAGAAAAACTTCTCTTCTGTGTTCTTCCTCATTGATCCCGTTGCTAGGTTGCTAGGGAAACCAAAGTAAAATAAACAAGAGTAGGAATGGATCAATTGATTCGGGAATGATTTCATCTGCTTTCAGATCACTTATAATGAACAACTTATCCTCAATTCATCGAAAAAGATTGCTTCTGCACAAAGTCGCTATCACTTGAGGACCCCTTGAGAAGTCGCTCTTGTCCCGACGGAGATTTCGAGTTCATAAGAAACTTTTTTTCGCTTCATAATATTAGCTGAACAACGCTTTAAAACAATCTAGAGTCTTTTTTAAGCGAATAAAATTTAGAAGGTCACGAAAACACAGAGAACGACCACATCTGAGCCTTTCTGAGCCTTGTCAGAGCGTGCCACTAATCCCCTGGGGAGGAGGTTCCGTGAGAGGGCAGTAAGAGACTGGAGAAGAGAGAAATTGAAACTGGTGGAATTTTAGGTACTTCCGCCTTCGATTTTCGTTTGGACCTTGGGTATAAAAGCCATGTTATAAGTAGAGTTTTAGTGTGGTAAGTGTATTCAGTTATGTTAGATTTGTGCATGAAAAGGGATAGAAAATCAATGTTAAATCATCAATTGCTTCTTAGATTTCGATTCCCAGGACTTCACGAGGTTTTCAAGCATCGATGGTGGCTTCTACGTCAGAAAATTTAAGAATTCGAAGGTAAAGGAAGTTTCCTTTTATTCTAAACTTTCGTTAGAATTTCCTGAAGAGCTGAGAATGTATCGCTGTGGTGATTTAAGCGTAGTTCAGGACTGTTTTAAAACTGTTTCAGTCGCGGCGTCGACCTGAATATGTTGCGATCGAAAAGAGTTTCATTTCAGAATACAAATTAGCAATTGAATAACTCGAAATCCTGATTTCTTTATTGATCGCATAAATATCCTGTTTTTTTAATTATTTCTCTGTTTTGAATTTTGCGATCTGAGATGATATCATTCAAAAAAGTTAAATCAGGAAAAAGTTCGGATGAAACATATTTCTTCAAGGTCACGGAAAAGTCGTGGAATTTCACCTTGAGTCTGGAGAAATTCACATGTTTGAATGAAGTCTGCATGGAACAATGAAAATCCAAGTAAAAAGAAGTTTATCGTCTTTTCTTGGCCCTCGCTTTTCCTTTTTGTGATGTCGATGTTACTCGTGCACATTGTTAAAAACAGTTGACAGCGTATCCTTTCTCTTTGAGTTCAAGTAGTGGCTTAATTGAGAATGAAATCATATATTTTCCCTCCTATTTTCATTGTTGTCTAACATTTTAAATTCTTTGGTACATTGCACGGACATGAAAGGTGTTGGATTAGTAGAATATTGTTAATGAAATTGAGCAAGAAACTGATGTCTGGTTTCCAAGGAAATCAATAATTTTTCCATGTTACCTCTAGGAACTATCAATTCATGTACAGGTGTACCTTGTGTGTGACTTGCTAAAGGCACACATTTATGGGTGGATAGGATGGCTATGAGGGAAGGGGAGGAAGGCCAATCTGTGCCCTCAGGAGCAAAGAACTATTGAAATTGAAATTTGGATTTTTGACCACTATTTTATTCATAAAATTCAAGAACCCAATAAAGGAAATTGTACTGCTGAATTCCAGATTGACAATTTTCACTTTGGGAGGGCAATGTTTCTCAGGGTAACCAATTGTTTTGTGAATATTTCAATGTTTTAAAGGAACATGCTACTAGGCTTCTTCTCATTCAAACCTCTTGAATTACATTGTCAATAATGCTAACTACATTTAAGGAACTTAACCCTTTAACTCCTATGATCTAGTGATCGAGGCATAATTTCTCCACACAATATCAATACAATATCAAGCGGAAGAGCGATGAGAATAAAGAAAAATATCAATTTGGGAATTATTGGTGGATTCAATATCAAATTTTCTGAACCAACAGCATAAGAATTGTGTGGCAGACCTTACAAACAGAAAGTAAAGAGAAAGCTCCATAAATTTTGCAAGATAGGGATTTGTGATGCATTGTGTATTACATGTACATTCAAATGTAAATTGACTTATAAATTGACATGTACATTGACCTTTATTTAAGTTGCTCTAAACAATCATATCTACTTTGTACGACAACCATCTTCATTGATAACCATTTTCATCAATCTGACAACCTTGACAATAGTAAGCACACATATATACAGAGGATCTTTTGTGGCCAAAGGTGATACAAATTTTATTTTCAAGTGAGAGATTATTATCAACACAAGAAAAAATATTCTTATCCACTAGAAAACATGTATTGTTAACATTGTTAACATTATTATGTAACTATTAAGGACTTGTTTGAATAAAAGATGATTTTAAAATGCATCTAAAGAGCAGTGATCACAGATTGTATGCAACTCAGAAAATCTAACCATGACTTCAAATTAATATTCAAAGGTATTTCATTTTAATTAGAGTTTCTTCATCTGAAGCAAAAGTTGAAATTAACCTCAGTTATGTTAAGTAAAACTACCATTATGGTTAAACCTGGTTACCATTACAAAATAGTCAAGGTTTTCATTTGAGCCTGAGGCCAGACGCTTCATCTGGTTATTTTTCATTCCATTGCTAGTACTTTGATGCCAATATTTTAGCTTCTGTTTTTGTTTGTTTGTTTGTTTTTTTTTTATCACTATAATTTTTTTTCACTAAGCATCTCATGAACTTGCTGACCAGGGCCGAGTTGTTCAAAGCTGGGCCAAGATAAGCTGGGCCAAGATAACCTGGGGTTAGTGTGAAATTTGATTTTAGATCTGAAAGCTTGAAGAGTCAATTCAGTTTATTTCTTTTTTTACTACAATTCAATAATTGAATGCTCTAAAAACAATGGGTAAAATTATTCCAAAACAGCTTTTGAACAAAGAAATATAGAAACCCGGATTAAAATTTAACCCAGGGTTAGCACTAATCAGCCTTTGAACAACTGGGCCCAAAGGATCACAGAATAGACAATTAATTTCTCTAAACCTGCTACACTACTTTTCTTTCTTTGCTAATCAGGCAGAATATTTGATTGGTTTCTCTTTTCATTTAAACAAAATTGGGGTGACTATTTGTTATCATTCCTGCTCAAAAAGAGAATTTGTGTAAACTTCAGCCCTACCTGGGAAGCCGATTCTTGGGTTCTAAAAAGGTTGAAACAGCATTTCTGAGTTTTCTATCTTAAAAATTTCTTGAAGGGCATTCCCTTGACCCCCCTAGGTAGCTTGTGCCTTCAGGACTTGCAAGGCACCTTGCCACAACAAAAATATGTCACTTCCAGAGCTTTCAGGAATATGTCCACTACTTTACAGAAATGTTGAAAACCCTGAAAAGTTGTCTTCATATAAATAATTTTTTGAAGTACAAAAACACTGCCAATAATTACAAGTTAGTGAACTGAGGTAGAGTAAGAAAATTGGGATCAGTTGATACCAGCTGCAGAATGTGATGTTTAGCTCTGAAATGTCACAGAATACTTGATTTGATAAGCTATTCAGGTGACATCTTTCTAAGTTCCCCAATCCAGCATGTACATGTACACTATAGGTCAGGCAGAAATTGAATTATGAAAAAAAAAATGACTGATATGTAGAGTTGTTTCACTTCTCTGGATTGTGTAACATGTTGTTCGAATGATTGTTTTTTAACTCTTGAAAAAGAAGAAGAAGAAGGGGCAGGGCCTGCTATTTTGTTGGAAATTCCAAACTGAAATTCACACTAATTAAACCTATAAAAATTGCTACCAACAGGTACACAACACCACACATGTATCAGAAGATCCTTGCAGAAATCATACATGCAGCTCTCATTGGATATATCAAAGTGCCAAAGACAGAAACTATCAAAATTTCAAACATTTTTGTGTGGATGTATACTCAATTGACCACTCCCTAAATAGGGCTTTTCAGGGCCAAAATGAACAAATTGGACTGAAACACTGAAACACAGAAGTGGAATATGTGTCAAATACACTGTATGTAACATGTACAATTGCTTCAGATTCCACTAGTTGCTTTATTTGAGTACCAATCATATCAGATTTTTTTTCAAAATTTTGAGAGATCATCATCAGCAAAAATATTTTTTGAAAAATCAATACCATATTAAGGTAACTGTATAGTAGCAAAGTGTGAAAATTTCTCCTTCCTGCTTAGCCACATTGAAAAAAGAAAGATTGTTTTGAGGACCTACCTTGGGATCTTTCAACTCAAACAAAAAAAGTGTTCTGCTTTGTGAGACTGAACCCTTAAAGAGGGGTTGGTTAAATTAAAGGTAGAATGTGATGAACTTTCACACCAAAGGCATTTCTAATACATTTTGGAGCCCAATGTCCATTGTTTATCACTGGTCGATTTTCATGTTAAGATACATTTAGAAACCTTGTGATCCTTTACATTAGAGAGCTTTGATATGAGTGGAATTGGACATGATTGAAAGGGCTTTGAATTAATTGCAGATTTCCCCATGATACACCTTGCCTGCCTGCCTACTAAATCCAGATTTTCTTCTTGCATAACATACATACATGAGAATGTATCAGGTTCTTTTCTTTCCTTTTTAGGTAGAATTGGAGGACTGTGCCTTTCAATTTTGAGTTAAAATGGCGGCTTCTGCACCCTCACCCCTGGTCAGCTCCACAGAGAAGACAAATGGAGCCAAGCTCAGCAGACTTCTCATCGATGGTGGAACCACAGTTTTAAAAATGGTTTTTGACAGCCATCATTCTCCCGCAAACCTGGCTGTGGATCTCACAGCCAACTATCCAAAACTGTGCAATCTACTGAAGAGAAGGGTTTTACATAAGCCTCAGTGGGACAAACTGTTTCCACCCAGTGGGAGCACACCAGATTCAAACAATTTTGACATAACTCTTCTTTTTCTTCTTCTGACTGAGATTTGTGGGCTTTCCCCTCCCCC